CATGTGTGTTACCTAATCTGCACTATATGCTCTATCCATCCATCTATTTATTTCATTTATAGAGCACCTTTTTTCTCCAAGGAGCTCAAGGTGGCAGATGTGGTTCTCCCCCTCCTCATTTAATCCCCCCAACAACCCTGTGAGGTAGGTTAGCCTGAGAGGCAGTGGTTGGCCTAAAGCCATCCAAGTGAGCTTTGTGGCCAAGTGGGGGATTTGAACCCTGGTCTCCCACAACCTAGTCCCACATGCTAACCACTACACTGGCTCCATGGTACTGCTTTAAACTGTCATGGCTTCCCCCAAAGAATACTGGGATTCTTGTAGCGCTGAAAGTTGTTAGGAGACCATTATTCTGGTCTGGTGGAACGCTCTGTCTCATGAGACCAGGGCCCTGCAGGATCTGATTTCTTTCCGCAGGGCCTGTAAGACGAGTAGTTCCGCCTGGCCTTTGGCTTGGAATCAGCTTGATCCCCTCCCCCTCTTTCCTTTTTCCTTTCTCCTTCTGTGATGGAACTCCTATTTGGGGACTTCCCTGGCTTTTTTCTTTTTTTCAAAAATTTTACAGTGGTGCCTCGCAAGACGAAATTAATCCGTTCCGCGAGTCTCTTCGTCTTGCGGTTTTTTCGTCTTGCGAAGCAAGCCCATAGGGAAATTCGTCTTGCGGAACGACTCAAAAAACGGAAAACTCTTTCGTCCTGCACGTTTTTCGTCTTGCGAGGCATTCGTCTTGCGAGGTACCACTGTATTAGTTTTCACAATATTATAAACGAACACACAAGACAAACAAACATAAATTATAGCCTTATTGAAAATTACAGTTATTAACTTTGTTAAGTGACTTCCTCGCTTCCCCTTGGTTGAATTTCATTGCATGTCCTTTTAACGGTTTTCCAAATCCCAATTTTTATGAAATTTAACTTAAACATTAACATCCTTAGATCTTCACCTAATGGAATTAAACAAATTAATTCATCACTTAACATAAATAAAATCCTAAGCCCATTAAGTATCTGCAAGCTATTTTCAGTTAGTTTAACTTAACAAATTTAACTAAATAATCATTAAATTTATTCCACTCTTCCTGATACTCCTCCTCCTTCTGGTCGCATACTCTTCCGGTTAGGTCGGCTAGCTCCGAAAATTCCATCATCTTCATCTGCCATTCTTGTTGGTAATTCTTGGGTTTTCCACTTTTTAGCTAACAAAACACCAGCAGCAGTTGTGGCATACAAAAATACTGGCTTTTTTCCTGGCCCACATAGGACCAGTCTGGATAGTTGGCCTTGGTGAAGATTTGACGTTTTCATCCACAAAAAGTTTTTGATTTCCGTTTCTACTGAAATGAGGCTACATTTTAATGTTGTACTTTAATCTTGTTTTTGAGTTGTATTTTAATCAATTGTTTTATACCTGGTGTTAGCCGCCCTGAGCCCGGTCTTGGCTGGGGAGGGCGGGGTATAAATAAAATTTATTATTATTATTTATTATTATTCTGCTTTTACTGTTACAATTCTCAGAATGGATTAACAGCCAATCTGTCTTCCTAGGGAGCTGTGAGAATTGTAGCTCTGTGAGGGATCGGGTTCTCCTAGCTCTTGGCACCCTTAACAAACTGCGTTATTTGGGGGGAGCCATGACTGATTAAAACGGTAGTATACTGCTTTAAATGTAAAGTGCAAAGTGGGCTTCTTACATCTCCAAGTGTGGGAATAATATTAATACTAATGCTAATACTAATACAGTGGTACCTCAGGTTAAGTACTTAATTCGTTCCGGAGATCCGTACTTAAGCTGAAACTGTTCTTAACCTGAAGCACCACTTTAGCTAATGGGGCCTCCTGCTGCTGCCGCGCCACCAAAGCCCGATTTCTGTTCTCATCCTGAAGCAAAGTTCTTAACCTGAAGCACTATTTCTGGGTTAGCAGAGTCTGTAACCTGAAGTGTATGTAACCTGAGGTACCACTGTAATAGGAACTGCTATGAGAGGAGACATAAGAGGCTGAGATTTCATTGCTGCAAGTGCCAAGCCTGGACAACTTGTAACAAAATGAACTGAAATGAGCTCACCAGCCCTGGAAGCCAGCTCAGCAGAGGCTCTCTACAAACCCTCTGCGTTTTGCTGCCTACTGGGAACTGCTTGTCTAGGCAGCTGGCAAGGATGCTGGAATCACAGAATTGGTGGAGTTGGAAGGGACCCTGAGGATCATCTAGTCCAACCCCCTGTAATGCAGAAACATGCAGCTGTCCCATACGGGGGTCAAACCTGTGACTTTGGCATTATCATCACCACTCTCTAACCAACAGAGCTACTTAACTTGTGCAACCCAACTGGTGGGTTGCATTGACTGTGCATTGTGCGTTACAAACTACGCAGGGTTTAATTATTTGTGGTATTTCTACTCCACCCTTTAGCAAAAAAAAGGGGGGGGGAGCTCTTAAGAGCAGTTTACAAAAATCAAAACGGCAGCAGGACCTCAGGCTTACAATCTGGAAGGAAAGGACAGCTCAAGGTATTGAAGTTACAGCTGAGGTTGGTGCTGGTTCTAGCTGTCTTGCCTTGCTAAAATGCCCTCCCCATACTCAATCAGATCCAGAGCAGCACATGTGGCAATTTCCTGGTGAGGAGGGGAGGGCAGCTCCAGATACACAGTTCTTGTATAAGTGTTTCAAAACCTCAAGTTCATTGGAAACGTTAGATTAACATTTGGCAAAGGCCTTTAAAACGAATGCAGCTGACAGCTGCTGCTTCTTTCTAGGCTGGTCTCAGTGATCAGGTAATACTTGTCAGGAAATTTTGTGTGTGTGTGTGTGTGTGTGTTAATAGAGTTACACCATCACCATCTTATTAAAAAAAAATGCTATAAAGTTGTTATAATGCGCTGGAGGGGGGGCCTTTGAAAAATTGCAGCTTTCTCTTTACCCTGGCACCCCAGGAATCACTTGGAAAACTAAATTTGATTAGCATCTATTTATTTCCACTTTACTGCTTGGACCAAATTCACCCTAAATATGAAGCATAAACAAAGAAATCAGCAGTTGCCCCCACCTGCTAGATGAAACATTAAGCTCTTGTGCATTAAAAGTGGAAAGATCTAACTGATTTGGACAAATTTGGGGGATTGAAACATTATGTGGGAAACAGATTACGGAACTGAAATTGAACATGAATACCATTATTAAAGATATGGAACGGCATTAAATATATGAAATACTGCATTAAAGATATGAAACTGGAAATGATGCAAAAATGGCATCTTACCTCACTAACATTTACAACATAGCTCACTATTGTCCTGGCTTGGTTGCAGAGACGGGGTCATTACTGGCACATCTAGTGGATATTCCCCAAGGGGACAATGTTTTGAGACCAGGTGGTGATGATTTGGATAAAATGACCCATCAGCATATCACCAGCACTCCAGAGCTAGCCTTACCGAATCTGTATATGAATAACCACAAAGCGTGTTCTCCTTCATGGAGAGCACATCTTGTGGGGTCTAGCAGGACACCCTGTTCTTTCGCTGCATGTACCGGATCACCTGCCCACCCTCCCTAATTTAGGGCTTTTGTGTTTGACCTTGCTATGCCTGTCATGGGGCCGTCTGCTTTTGGGGCAGGGGCCTGGTAGGAATTTTGTCCATTTGCTGATTGGCTGGTGCCATTTGGTTTTTGCCTACTGTGTAGCAAATCGTCACAACTTGTAAGGTTGCGGTTAGGCATTGGTTAAAAAACGGGTTGGTGGAGGGGTAAAGAATTGGCTGTGCCTGCCCCTCCAATACTACTGCTGCAAGGGAATTCCGTTAAAGGAATCCAGGGGCTCGCCATTCTTTCGTCCGAATCCCTGGCGTGGGGTTTGTGCTGCGCAAGTCCCTGGGAGCATGCGGGGAGAGTTCAGGGTCTGGTGCCCAGCTCCATTTTCTCCCCAAGTGTTTTCCCTTACTGGCTTTTGCAGGGTTGCGGAAGTCAGTTCTGTCTCTGACCAATGCCTAAGCAACCACTCACATTTTGTATTTTAATAAAGTTGTGGCCAAAATTATGCCAAAAATCTTAAACAAAAATTCTGTGTGAATTGTGATTTCTTTGGGGGGTGGCTTGGGGACCTTGACACGCAAAGACCTGGTGGATAAACCCTTAACTGGGTATGCAACAACAGCAGCAAGAATACTCATCGCAAAGTATTGGAAGACACAAGAACTTCCCACGCTGGAGGAATGGCAGATGAAACTGATGGATTATATGGAACTGGCGGAAATGACTGGCAGAATCCGTGACCAGGGAGAAGAGTTGGTGGAGGAAGATTGGAAGAAATTCAAAGATTATCTTCAGAAACATTGCAAAATTAAGGAATGTTAGAGTGATGTTGGATTGAAAATAAGTGGTTTCCAGCTGTACAGGTTAAAGTTATTGATAGACTAAGATTAAAGATTAGGATTAAAGATGTTTAAGGAAATGGAAATGTGGTACTTAAGAGGTAAAAATTTAATGTTATATTACATTAAGATTAAAGATTAGGACTAAAGAAGTTTAAGTGTTATATATTATATTAAGATTAAAGATTGGGATTAAAAAAGTGGAAAAGAAATTGCTGGACAAACAATTTGGACTGGAATACAAAAGAGGGAGGTATGAGGAAGTCCAGAAAATAAGTAAATTCAAAAACGGAAATGGAAAAGTGATATTGTTTTTAATTGTTCTGTTTTGTTGTTTTTTTAGTTTGTTTTTTTTGTATTTTGTTCTCTGTGTTTTTTTTTCTTTTTGGATTATGTATTGCATGTTTTTGTATTTTAACTTTTATGTTTTTTTGTTTAACTTTTATTGAAATCTTAATAAAAATTATTTTAAAAAAAACAAAAAAACCCTTAACTGGATTTTTGTTGGCAGCAGCAAGTATGGTTATCTCTAAGACAGCAAGGGAACCTGTATTCTCCTGATACGAGTGCGTGTGGTAAACAGCCCCCACAGAGAAATTAACACAAAACCCAGAGCAACACAAGGACAAATTTGCTGGAGAATGGTGAAACTTTATTACAATTACAAAGACACCGGAAAATGAAAGACCAGGCCGAAACATTTGCACCATTTTATAGATAGGATAACAGACAAATATTTGCATCTTTCTTCTTGTTGTAATTTGCTAGCCTTGTCAGGGAATGACTAGTATCACATAGGGGAGTTTCCTGGAACAAAGTGAGAAGAGTTGATTACTTGTTAATAATTTGTTAAAGCTGTACCGGATGGGACATCAAGTTCCGAGGTGTTGGAAAACAACAATAACGAATATTGAAAAAGGGGAGACGGAAGACGAAATGGTTAAATCAACAATGATACAATGGACTACAGACCTGTGACATAATACAGAAATGTGTGCATGGGGAAAGCTGTGGAAAGTAGATATGAAATTTACTGCTTGTTACACCTTAAAAGGTAATTATATGAAAACAGAACGGAAGGAATTAGATTATAATATCATGATAATGATTTAATTGATAGAAGATAGGATGCAGCAGAAGGGGAGAAAAAACAACTCCATGAAAAATGGGGTGGCAAGTGGACAAAAGAGAAGAGACAAAACTGTATTTTGATTGTATGTGCTAAAAACGTTGAAACTCAATAAAACATAATGAGGGGAGAATGTTGAAAAAAGAAAACCCTCCATGCCTACACGTTTCTCCTCCCAACTGCCTTGCTAAGAACCCTTTCAGCATCTTCCTCCAAATCATCCACAAATTTTTCCAGCATTCTCAGCGTCGACATAAAAGCAATTCTTCCTGCTGCTGGGGAGCCAAGGAGCAGCAATAGAGGTGAGAACAGAATATGAAAAAACCCGACCTCCGCGTTGGTCAGTAACTCGCCTACACGCAAAGGCAATGCTGAAGATGGAGGGGACTTCATCTGGGCTCTAAGTTCCTCCTCAGGTTGCTGAACCAGCCTAGCAAGTTTGGCAAGAGATTCATCATCCACACCAAACTCCTGATAGTAGTTTAACATGGAAGGCAAGAGGAGGGAGGTGTCACAGGCAAAAGGGATGCCTGGCGTTGGGGTTGCGGTGACGCCACATGACACCGTGGCGACCTCCCATGCGTGTTTCTTCAGAACCGCTTTCTTCTTCTGTAGGATACGCATGGAGATGCTTGGAAGGGCCAAAATAAAAGCCCGTTGTTTGTGGACAGGGAGGTCCTTCTCTAGCGTTTCCTCCAAACGGTGGAAATCGTACTTGTTGAGGTCATATCTGGAAAGGAGGAAAACCCCCTGAGAGGTGAATTTTGCTTCTCTGAGGCTCTGCATACAGTCATCACGGATTTTCCTCAGGACACCCTCCTCATCATAGAAGGGGGCCTGTTGTCTCCTGGCACTTTCCAAATCCAAGTCGACCTTGGTGCGCACAAAGTAAAACTTTTTTCCCAGCTGCTTAATTGCTTTTGCCAGGAGAATATCATTCTGGCCTAAACGGCGGCAGCTGACAATAATGAAGAAGTCATAGCGGTCAAAGTTTACCTGCTGGAGGTACGTATCAGCTGTGAATTGATTTGTGCCAATTCCTGGGAGATCCCATATTGTTACACTGGGAAGTTTAGGGTGCTGGTAAGGGACTACCTCCATAGTGGTCTCACGTACTCCAGTTTGTGCAGCACCTACTTCACGATCGCCAAGACCTCGAAGGGCATTGACCAGGGCAGATTTCCCAGCACCCGTTACTCCCGAAATGGCGATATCAAGCTTGATCTTATCTGGTGTTTCCAGCAAAATGCTAAGGACATCTGCCATTCTTCTGTTTTCCAGAAACTCAGCCATGGTTGTGGAGGTCTCACCTGAAAGAACATAAGGGAGAGGCATTTCATTTTCATAGACTCACAGGTGCCAAAACAGTGCCGTGGAGATGCCTGCCTGGTGTCAACCACACTAAAACAGCAATGCACACAAGTGCAAAAACATTAAGAGAAATCAGCTGCAACCTTCCAACAGCTTGTCCTCACCCACAAAGGTGCTCTCCATCGCCTCCTGAGACAGACAGAGGCCAACAATACAATACTGGCATCAGATATTGATATGTCATTGAAATAAACAGTGTAGCATTTTCTCTGCAGGACGGAAAAACTGGGCAGTTTCAAGATACAGTGGTACCTCGGGTTACATACACTTCAGGTTACATACGCTTCAGGTTACAGACTCCGCTAACCCAGAAATAGTGCTTCAGGTTAAGAACTTTGCTTCAGGATGAGAACAGAAATCGTGCTCCGGCGGTGCGGCAGCAGCAGGAGGCTCCATTAACTAAAGTGGTGCTTCAGGTTAAGAACAGTTTCAGGTTAAGTACAGACCTCCGGAACGAATTAAGCACTTAACCCGAGGTACCACTGTAGTCTGTTTAAAAAGATACCAGTTTGTGCAAGGTTTGGAACTGCCAGCATCAACCCCTTTTTAACAGCAGACAATCTTTGGTCCTCAGGGCACGGAAGTGAGACTCTGGAAACCTCGCCAGTAATGCTGGCCTAATCACTCTGGAAACTGCATCACACCAAGCATCAGACCACTGCTCCATCGAGCTCAGTACTGTCAGCACTGACCGGTAGCGGCCCTCCAGCTTTGCAGAAAGGAAGGCATTCCCAGGATGCTGGGGATTAAGTCTGATACGGTTTGCGTGCAATGCGCGTGCTTCGCCGCTAAGCTGCAGCCTTTCCCCCCATTTGCAGAAGGTTGGAAGAAGCAGAAATACGGGAGAGGAAGAAGAAGCCAGAATCACGAAAGCAGCAGCAGCTGCCGGACTGCTTTTAGCAAGGAGGGAGGCTAAAGCCAGCTGCAGGTGCGCGCGCGTGTTTTTTGGGGCTTCTAAGTGGGGACCCCGCAAACTTTGGCACGCACTCTTTCTCCCAGCACCCACAGGTCTCTTGCACTATTCCCCACCCCCCGCCACGCTACAAGCTCAAGGAGGGTGGCTGGCTGTTGCCACAGCTTAAAGGGCTTGGAAGGGGTTTTGAGCTCACCTTCAGTTCCCTGCAAAGCGGCTGGAGTCTTACTCGAGAGTAGGCCTCCGCTTTGGTGCCGTAGCAGCAACGCACAAAACAACCTTGACGCCTGCCTGCAATTCTCCGGGACCCCTTGGAAGTAAAAGTGAAACAAACCTTCAGTCTGCCCACACCCAAACTCAAGTCTCTGTGCCTGGTGCCACCTTGTGGCCCTAATTTTTACGTACACCATGGGAAGGTTTAAAGGTTACCCAACTAAGTATTAACTGACATGGTGAGAATTTTAGTATAGCTCATTTTTTCTACGTGCTTTAGGTTTCTTCTTTATGACTACTGTTGTAATAAATAATCTTTCATAGAAAATATTGCATTACATTCTTTATTAAATTATCTTTCCGTTGATTTATAATTTTATGGTATTGCTCAAAAAAAGAAAAGGAAAAAAAGTGGTGTTATGAGCCATCATTGCCAAAACCAGATGACACCTGACTGGCTCTCTAAACACTCCTTTTTCTGATTATTTGGCTGTATCTTTTGATAGAATACAGATAACTGAAACTTTGTTGCATTACATTCTTCATTAAATTATCTTTCCATTGATATGTAACTTTATGGTATTACTCCAAAAGAAAGTGGTGTTATGAGCCATCAAACCTCGGAAATGCACATTTCCCAAAAAGTTTCCACAGTGATGGCCACTAGTGTGGTTCTCTCTGTCACACACACACATTCTACATACAGTGTAGAATCATAGAATTGTAGAGCTGGAAGGGGTCCCGAGGGTCATCTAGTCCAACCCCCCTGCAGGGCAGGAATCTTTTGTGCTATGTGGAACTCGAACCCACCTCCCTAAGATGAAGAGTCTCATGCTCTGCCGACTGAGTTATCCCAGCTTTAAATGTTTGCTGTGAATGCACCTATGCCTGATTTCCTGACAGAGGAGAACTCCTTGTCCGCTCCTCAGTTGCTGGCTCTGATGGGCAGGTATTTCTGTACTGGTTTCTGCAACGCGCTATGGCCTAGTGCAAGACAACGCAGGGCTCCTGCACCTTAAATAGCAGCACAGGAGAGGGAATTTCGGCTTGTCTGCTGCGATTTCCTCTTCTGCATAACCGTTAAAAGGTGCGTGAAAGCTGTGCCTTTCCCTTTCCTTTATACTTTCTTTGCACCTGGCTAGTCTACTCGGACAGCCGACTCCAGTGGGTAAGAGATTCTGTAGATTCTGAGACTAGGATCTGCCAGTACAGTGATACCTCAGGTTAAGTACTTAATTCGTTCCGGAGGTCCGTTCTTAACCTGAAACTGTTCTTGACCTGAAGACCACTTTAGTTAATGGGACCTCCTGCTGCTGCCGCGCTGCCAGAGCCTGATTTCTGTTCTTATCCTGAAGCAAAGTTCTTAACCTGAAGCACTATTTCTGGATTAGCGGAGTGTGTAACCTGAAGCGCATGTAACCTGAAGCATATGTAACCCGAGGTACCACTGTAGATCTTGGGTTGGTTTGAACTTCCTGCTGCAGATTGTTTTTACAACGGAAGCAACAAAGCAGCATGTGGCACGCTGCTGAATAAAAATAGTGAGGGTGAGCAGAAGTGTGTGTCTGTGGTACGGGTGTAAGAAATACCGTAGTTCAGTTCTGGCACTCCGAACAAGTTTATGGGCTGAGAAATTTTAAGGGTATGCCTTTCGCCTCAGGCTCCACTTGCTGGATCTCAGGCTTTGTAGAGATTGGAAGAATCAACTGAAAATGAAAGAAAGCCATTAGGAAAAAGATACTTTGGCAAGCATTTAAATCACAGGTAGGCAAACAAAGGCCCGGGGGCCGGATCCGGCCCAATTGCCTTCTCAATCCATCCTGTGGACGGTTCAGGAATCAGTGTTTTTACTGTGCTTTTATTTAAAATGTATCTCTGGGTTATTTGTGGGGCATAGGAATTCGTTCATGCTGACCCCTGATTTAAATCATGGATAGGCAAACTAAGGCCAGGGGGCCGGATCCAGCCCAATTGCCTTCTAAATCCGGGGGGTATGTTCAGCAGCTTAAAAATGTTCCATATACTGTATAATGAATAGTGTTTTTAGTTGCTTTTAAAAATCGCGATGTTTTTAATTGCATTGTGCTGTTTGCCATCTTGTAGTATGGCCTGCCTGGGCTCCTTCAGGGGGAAAGGCAGGTTAAAAACCAAACTGATAAATAACAACAGAAGCACTCTTCTTTAAGCACAGAGAATCTTATTAACTGCCCCGAGATCTTCAAATGAAGGGCTTTATATAAAATTAATAAATCATAATAATCCTGAAGGAGCTGCTCCTGTACAGATGCCCAGACAAGGGCTAGGGCCATAGCACTCCTCCCAAGGCAATCTGGGTGGGGTAGTACCTATTTGATATATGTCATGGGACTCTCCACCACCAGATCAACCTCTTGGTGAATCAACCTGCAGGCGGCTTGGTTGATATGCGTTATACGCAATGCCTAAGTCAAAGCTCCTTACATCTTTAATCAATGAAGTTGTGGCCTAATTTGAACCAAAAATAATGTCATGAGTGGTCTGATGCACAGTGCAGGATGGTTGGCTCAGTACCTGTGAATGCAATTAATATCTTAGCCCATTCTTGCTGCATGCAGTTTGATGCTTCTTAAAATGTTGGTAACTTGACTTTGGCCCAATTTTGAGTTTGGACCTCTGAGCACTTCGATTGGCAGGTCTGCAGAAACAGCAGGGAAGGACTGTGGCTCAGCAACAGAGCTCCATGCAGAACAAACCGGGCTTATTCCCAGCATCCCAGCTCATTCCCTCCCGCTGCCACCGCACCACTGCCGCACAATTTCTGTTCTCATCCTGAAGCAAAATTCTTAACCCGAGGTACTATTTCTGGGTTAGTGGAGTCTGTAACCTGAAGCGTCTGTAACCCGAGGTACCACTGTATAGGGCTGGCAGAGAACTCTTTCTGAAACCTGGAGAGACATTGCCCATTAAACAGTACTGAATTAGATTGTTTGACTCCGTAGAAGGCAGAGTCCTATGTTCTTAGGCAGACAAAGATAGGATCTCAGTTTTTTCAACTTTTATTAACTTTCACTCAATACAACAGAGAAGAAGGCAAATACCCTTGAAAGGCCGAAGTGAAAACAAGAGGCAAAGGGGGAAGAGAGGAGTATTTCTTCATTGCTGAGATGCTGCAAAAGAGACATTATAAGAGAAGTTTCATCAGCAGGAGAACCAGGAGGGGATATGCTAACGAGGGGGCAGCCCTGCTGGCTTGAGAGACCTTGGCCTGGGAACAGGTCACATTTCTCATATTAGGAAAGGCAGAAAGCGGTCTGTTCATTGATTGTAGTGTCTGGCAGCCAGATTCAGAAATGCAGCCCTTCATGGTGCTATTTACGACGTTCGTGTCTGCAAGGGAAATCAAAGGCGAGTGGTCAGGGGAGTCAGGAACTAGCGCGCACACACAAAAAACCCGATCTGCTCAATTTAAAAAAATACCTATCCACGGTAGGACACATATATTTTATCCATCATGGCTGACCTTAAGCTGATATACCAAATTAGAACAAAGGAGCAAAAGAGGTTAAGGTATTATGATATTGTTATGTAAATGTATGAGCAGGAATTGATAATTAGTATTCTACAGTGGTACCTCTGGTTAAGAACTTACGGTAATTCATTCCGGAAGTCCGTTCTTAACCTGAAACTGTTCTTAGCCTGAGGTACCACTTTAGCTAATGGGGCCTCCCGCTGCCGCCGTGCAATTTCTTTTCTCATCCTGAAGCAAAGTTCTTAACGCGAGGTACTACTTCTGGGTTAGCGGAGTCTGTAACCTGAAGCGTTTGTAACCCAAGGTACCACTGTAATTAACAATAATAATAAATTGAATACAAGGAATGAAATGTGAATCAGAGATAAATATGTAATATCAAGGAGCAATGGGAGAAAGTAGGGACACATTGAGGACAAAGAGTGAGAAGTCAACTTTTGGGGAGAAATTATATTAAATTTGGTGTAATTTGGCATTGATTTGTTGAAATTTTGGAAAACTAATAAATATTATTTGGCAAACAAAAATACAAAAAAGGGAACATCAGATGAAAAGGTCAACTGCAAATAGCCTAAGGATAGCAAAGAGGAGGTTTCAAGGAAATACCCAATTTGTCAGAACATCTAAGCTCTGGCCATGGTTACCATGGTACAGTCTGTTTGCATCGGAACAGGTTCCCCTGACAATACAGAGCAAGACTGAAAGAGCCCAACCAACTGTTCTGCTTTCTAACCAAAATGGTTGCTGTGACTGGACTCGAAAGTTACCTGCCTTGAGCTACTAGACCGGAGGGGGCAGGGGGACCTCTGCCCCACTGGCCAATTTTGGCCTCCCAGGCACATGAGGGCATTTCCCTCAAGCCACACCCACCTGCCAAGACATCACTCATTGTGGGAGTCATAAAGCCACGGTAAAGGCTTGTAATATTGCAGGGTGCCCCCTGACCTCGGCTGACCAGCACTCTGAGCTTTACAATGTATTGGAATGTGTTGACCTTAAATGGAGTTGTGTTTCCTCTGGGCAGTGATGACCCTATATGGTGATGGGGGCAATAAAAGCCTTGACCGGATGAGGTAACGTGAGACATTGGCAAATGGCCATGCGGCTGGAGAGGGACAAAGAATAAAAAAAAAGTTACCGGAGGGGAGAGAAGTTCAAAAGGAGCTGCTCATACCATCCTGAAAATATTGCTGGCTCTCTGTGTCTTTATTTTATGCTAAACTGCGCCACTTGTAACGGCTGGCTCCGACAACTCATGACATCAGTTGATGGGCAGAAGGGTGGGGCTCAATTCTGCATCTGCTGCAGGTGCCTCCAGGCTGGTGTTTATTGTGGGCGTATTTTGCAACGTGTTGTTGGCACACTAATAGGAAGTGGTGGGTTTCCAGTGCTACCACATTATTCCTGTCCGGAGGGGATTTAGCCCCCAACAAAAGCAGGACAAAATTAAATATTTGTGGTAGGAAAAGTTATGGGATTTCAGCAGGATATGCACTGGTTCGAAATGAAGCAGTGACTGTCCCAGAACCTTTGCAGCAGCAGTCTTGAAAGGGAGAATCGTGTGTCATCACCCTGATAGCATCCTGAGTACAAATCATCATGAACACACAATCAAAAGACGACTGGATAAATCATTCTAGCTCATTATTGTCCGCTACTCTGACTGGCAGTGGCCCTCAAGAGTCTCGGGGAAGATCTTTTCTATCTATGGCCTTTAACTGGAGGTGCCAGTGATTCAGCTTGGGGTTTTTTGCAAGGAAAGTATGCTAGAAGCAACATTAACTACATCCATGCATTTAAGGTGCACATTTTTCTTTGGTAAATAGCAGCCACAAGAAATTCTGAGGGGACAAGGGGATGAAGAGGGCAGGGTTGGGGGAAAATTAACTCTTTCTCTCCCTGCCTCAGTCTCCACAAAAGTCACCTCTCTGAAGATGCTGTTTGCATCTCAGGAAAAGCTAGCTCTGAGCTACAATTCTTTCCCACCGATACTGAAAATCAATCCACATCCCATAGGAAGAAGAAAAACTGAAATGGACTGCAGCATCGGAAATCACAATTAGCAATACCTGTAACCGTGATAAAACCTATGCAGAAAGCATTCCCTCCAGTACAATAGACATATTCCTCAGGGCATACATCATTTTTAGAATAGCAGGATGGGCAAAACTTTCCATTGACATCGGGGGGCATTCTTGGCACTGAAACATAAGAGGAATCAATTGAATTAAGGAAAGACAGTGTGGTGCAGATTAGTTTAGACAAAGTATTCCTAGTCCTTACCTCCCACCTATGATCCCCTGCCCCCAGCAGTGCAGAAGCAGAAGCTTCCTAGCCCTTTTTGATGCATGCTGTGTCTGTCTAGACAGAGTAGAAAGTGATTACTTCTTTCCTCATGGTATTGGGCTAAAATGACTACTACTACTACTACTAATAATAATAATAATAATTTATATCCCGCCCATCTGGCTGGGTTTCCCCAGCCACTCCGGGTGACTCCCAACAGAATATTAAAAACACGATAAAACATCAAACATTAAAAAGTTCCGTAAACAGGGCTGCCTTCAGATGTCTTCTAAAAGTCAGATAGTTGTTTATTTCCTTGGCATCTGGTGGGAGCTATGTTTGGCTATGTTTGCCAGGGCTGATGATAGTAGTCTTTCAGCATCATGAAGGGCCAAAGTTGCCTCACACTTGATTTTGGTCTTTCAGAGTTGTCCCCTATATTTTGGACTGGAAGCCAAAGGAGTTTTTTAAATACTGCCAAAGCATGCTTCCGACAAGTCGTCTCAGTGAGCTGTGTTCAGTACTAGCTTCAGTTTCAAAAGCACCTTCAAGGAGAGCCCCACGTGCAACATTAGAAGTTACGAAGCATGGATAATGGATGACTTCTCCAGCAGATGATGATGATGATATTCATTCATTCATTCATTCATTCCCTGCCCATCTGGCGACTCCCATCAGAATTTTAAAAACACAATAAAACATCAAACATTAAAAACATCCCTAAACAGGGCTGCCTTCACATGTGTTCTAAAAGTCAGATAGTGGGCATTCCACAGGGCAGGTGCCACCACCAAGAAGGCCCTCTGCTTGGCTCCCTGTAACCTCACTTCTCGCAGTGAGGGAACTGCCAGAAGGCCCTTGGAGCTGGATTTCAGTGTCCAGGTTGAACGATGGGAGTGGAGACGCTCCTTCAAATATACTGGGCCGAGGTCATTTAGGGCTTTAACGGTCAGCACCAACACTTTGAATTGTGCTTGGAAACGTACTGGGAGCCAATGTAGGTCTTTCAGGAATGGTGTTATATGGTCCCGGCGGCCACTCCCAGTCACCAGTCTAGCTGCCGCATTCTGGATTAACTGTAGTTTCCGGGTCATCTTCAAAGGTAGCCCCACGTAGAGCACATTGCAGTAGTCCAAGCAGGACATAACTAGAGCATGCACCACTCTGGCGAGACAGTCTGCGGGCAGGTAGGGTCTCAGCTGGTGTACCAGATGGAGCTGGGAGACAGCTGCCCTGGACACAGAATTCACCTGCGCCTCCATGGACAGCTGTGAGTCCAAACTGACTCCCAGGCTGTGGACCTTGTCCTTCAGGGGCACAGTTACCCCATTCAAGACCAGGGAGTCCTCCACACCTGCCCTGCTGAATTCCTTCATGTGCCTGAAGGGCACATCCATTGATCTCCACACATCCATCGTTCTCCACACATCCATCTTTTGCCAGTTATGCTCCTTGTCAGACTTCTGGTCTGGGCAGAATGCCGGAAGAATGACCTGAGCTCCACGGAAAGGTTTGCTTTAGGAACAAACATACCTAGGATCCGTTTACAGCAAAGTTCTCTCAGGGCAGAAAACAGAAGGTTGCATATGCTACGAGTCCACTGAGATCCAATGGGGAAGCCCCAGGGGTAGTTTTCCAGGCAGCAAAGGAAGCTTCCAGGCTGAGCCTGATGCCTGGGAAACTGATCCTGCCCACTCGCTCAACTGCAAATTGCGAGGGGGCATGGGGGCAGACCTCCAGGAGTGGGCTCTCTAGTATATGCGGCACTGCCCCATCCTGCTCTGCCACCCGCTACCGAGCACAGGCAAATGACCAATTGAAACGTGCCCAGTTGGCCCACAACTGCACAAACATGCATGGTGCCAAACCCATACTTTAAAAATGGCAAAAACCTCCTTAAAAGAGCCCAGGAAGGGCAAAAGGCACAAAAACAGAGCCTAGCAACCCAACAAGCCTTTGCAAGTGCAATCCGAGGAACCCTTGACCGACCATTGAGGCCTGTGGAGAGTTGGAGGTGTGGAGGAAGTGAATGTCGTGGAGTTGGGCGTTGGTAAGTGCTGTTGGTTTTAAAGGGTTTCCAGAGGTTTTAAGGTTGTTTGGAGGCTTTTCCAATGGTGTTTCAAATATACTTGATTTCACATAAATGCTTGGAGCCTCGGAACATAACCCCTGTGCAAATTGGGAGTTGCCCGTAAAATAATACCTACATTCAGGGGAATCTGGCGAACAATTCTCCTTTGAGCAGCAGACAGTGCTTTCCCTGATGTGTTTATCCTGTCCAAGATCGATCTCGAACCATATTTTGCAGAGGTCAGGGGAAAGGCAGCCCTTCACTACTTTTGTAACTGTGGTGTTATCTGCAGAAAACAAGAAAGGAGGGTATATTTAGAAGGCGTAAGGGGATGCCTGCAGAATCCTCGTGGGTTATGCGTCAAATGGGCATGCACGACAGGCGATGAAGATGCACAAAGCATACACAAGCTAACCTTTTTCACTTCAAGGGCGGCAAGAACTGGGCAGAAAGTGAAAACCAGACTGAGGTAAAGAACAAAATTGGGTGGGGTAAATCCCAGAGCCCCAAAGGAGATTAAGTGTGAGAATCTCACCCTTCCTTAGTATGCAGTATGCTATTCAATAAGGCTTGAAATATTGAGTCCCCACCCCAATATGCATTTATAGACAGGAAAATGGAGGCACAATGAGTTATATAATGAGAAGAGGCACTATTCTTCTTGGGCAGTAGAGGCCCAGCCAATACACCCTGAACTAAGGATTGGGCTGTCTTTCTGAGAACGAGGGTAAAACCCAACATATGGCTTTGAAGGCCATGACCCTACTTGCTTTCTCCACACCTCACACACGAGGATGAGACAGTTGCTCAGTAGCAGGGCTAATGTCCTGCACACAGAAGGCAAGAGATTCTCTCTCTCATTCGAGGATGTGAGCAGCCCTCCAGGTTGGGAAGGACCAATGTTGCCAGTGGATTCATGAGTTTTGCACAAAACTGCAGTCTATTCACTCCTACGGTCCACCTTTTGGGCGTTCTGCCAAAGTAATGTAACACACATCAGCAGCAGAAGGGCAAGGTTCCTTTCTGCCAGTGCAGAATGTTTCTCCACGGCAAACTACACAGTCCAAAGAGGCACCTGGAGAAAGGGAAGAGAAGACAATTGCATGAATGATACAGGGTGGGTAGAATTCAAAGCTGTCAACCAGAGTAGAGGGTTGATATGGCTGCTCCTCTACTTTTGTTTTTGTATTTATTTTTAAACCACTCAGAACTCCTTCTGGCATCCTTTTTACTGCATATTCTAGATGACTTGTACTCAACAGTAATACTAGGGCAGTCATACACATTTCAGTACTGTTTAAGCCTGCAAACGTTTTTGGGCGGTCACATTGCATCATTTCCAATCAGGGTATTCCCCCCCCAAAAAAAAAATTCTGCTCCACACAACAATAATGCAATAGCATTGGGGAAGCTCTCCAGAACAAACTAAAGCAGAGCATATCCACCAGTAATACACTGCTATTGTATTAATGACATTATTGCAGAATATACCCACAACAAAACAGGGTCTCCAAAACCTTGTGGCTATAAGCAAGGCTCTGTGCGCTTCATATACTCCTTATTTATTTTAAAAATGAACCTGTATGCCAGATAAAGGAGCAAATTTACATTAAGTACATTTTTGCCCTCCTGTGTTTCTGTGGAATCAGAGCACACACACAGACCCTGTTCATGCATTGCTCTTGTATACAGCAGTAAGGTTCGTAGATAGCAGATAGGATTGGGACCGTACTTTTAGCCTTGCCCATGACATTGCATCTTACCATAAGCATGTGTTGGGTGTCTGCCGGGTGTACCCAGGCACCCCCTAATGTTTTAAAAAACCAGTGACCAGGAGAAGCAGACAGAGAGAGGCACAGGCAGAATAAAAAGGCTAGAATGGATCTGCAGCTTCTGTCTGCATCTCTCTCTGGAAGTGGCAAAGGGGTGATTGGCTCCAGCGGTGGCAGTAAAGGAGGAGGAGGACCTGGGGTTTTTTAGTTTTTTAAGTTTGGCGCTTTTTTTGCTATTTATTTTGCGTTTCTGTTTTTGAGGCTTTTTTGAAAATGCTGATTAATTTTCCCGAGGATGAAAAAAAAATCTCAAACTCATGCAGAAATATGGAGAACTAAATTTAAATTGGAAAAATGATGAGCTGAGAGAGAGAAAATGAAGTTGACAGATTCAGCCATCCCTACTGGATAGTCATGTAAATAAATAGACACCAAGTCATACCAGCTTGGATGTAATTCAGTGTTTTGCAGTCGATGGCCCGGGATTATGAGAGTTGCAGTCCAGGGCCTCTAGGCTGAAGAACACAGATTTCCTAATGAAATAAATCTCCCACTCTGATACCATTAGGAGCTTCCAGCTGCCCCTTACCTGTAGTTAGCAGAGAGAAGAAGAAAATTCCCAGAAGAGCCTGCATGGCGATGGTTCAAAAGCTCCTTCAATGAAGCAAATGTTGTGACTCAAAGTATCTGCTAAAACATTCACGGCAGCAAGATAAATAAAAATATAAGACTTGTTGCCCAGCAGGAAATTCATTACCACAAGCTGAAAACATGAATTCCAGGTAGAGGTGACCTATCCTTTGCCCAAAGAGTCATGTTGGCAATTGAGCAAGCAGCTGAGGTCTGGTTTTTGCAAGCTCTCTGTCTTCCTGAAGACACAGTCCAGCTGCACAGTGGTACCTTGGTACTCAAATGCCTTGGTACGCAAATGCCGAGAACCCGGAAGTAAGTGTTCCGGTTTTCCAATTTTTCCGGAAGCCAAACGTCCGATGCAGCTGTCGGCTATTGTTTCCAGGGCAAGGAGCAAATAAATTTGGATTTGAACCTGGGACCCTCTGCACGCAAAGCAGATGCTTTGCCACTGAGCTGCATATTTCCCACAAGAGACGGGCAGGATCAGACCAAACCTAGCCCAACCAATTATGTCATCTGGTTAATATGAGAGCAACTGTTTAAGAACTGGTGCATGCATTTGATTCCACACACACCCATCCCTCTCTACCTCTTTTCCCTCATGTAACACATTTTTTAAGACTGTAAAAGTCTGTCTTGTTTTTAATTGATTGCACGTGAGCCACTCTGGGAGCCTTTTTGGCATAAGGGCAAGGTACGAATGCTCCAAATAAATAAATAAAGTAAGCCAAAAAGGAGGTAGCTGGGGTTATTGGTTTGTTTTGGTTCTTACTTTTATTATGCATTTGGGGGTTTTTATTGTATTTTTTTGTTGCAAATCACCCTGAGATCTATGGATGGACCGTTAATAATAATAATAATCAGTGCTTTTTTCTGGGGGTACGCAAGGGTATGCATACCCCTAAACATTTTGTAAATCTTTGTACTTTTGTTCATGTACTGTATTTATTTCCCCCCGATTTGAACTATAAAATTGTGATTTTCTTGAGTCAAAATGAGAGTACCCCTAAGCATTTTTTAAAGGGGGAAAAAAGCACTGATAACAACAACAACAACTTCCCACTGTGGCCCAAACAGATGCCTTTACACAACCAGGAGATAGATAGATAGATAGATAGATAGATAGATAGATAGATATGATATGATATAAACATCCATGAGCCACTTTCTGTTCCATTTCTGTTCCACCCAGAGAACCTCTCAACCACCGTTCCTAGTGACCAGCGATACCTTCGCCTCTGCCAATTAATATTTATCCTCTTAAAACTGCCAAGCTGGTGGCTATAGGCAAACACCAAGATACATAACACGGAAGGCAGGGGGGAGGAGAATACGGCCAGATCCTTCCTTGTAAAGCCACAGCCCCACACAAGCTAACCCGCAGCCCATTAAAATCCAAATTGTGCGGCAACCCTGCATTAAATTCCAAATTGTTAGGCAATCCTACAGCAGGCCTTTGCCCCGCTGGAGTCAGATGAGATATCTCTTATCTCAAGGCCGAGGGAGCTTAGGGGCTGGGGCAACCCCGTTTGGGTGGGTGGGGGAATAAGTCATTATTATTATTATTATTATTATTATTATTATTAGGAAACTGGCAGGCCTTGGATTCATTAATTGTTTTGTTTTGTAAGGTGTATACCTACCGCCTGGGGAAAAAAATAAAAATAAAAATCTTCAAAGCGGATCAGAGCAGGAATGCAGGCTGAGGCCTAGTCCTATCCAGGCTAAGAGCCTTTGCCACCGCCACCCAGCCCTCTCCCCACCCCGGCTTCTTCTTCTCCCTACAAAATTGGGGAAGGGGCCTCTTCTTTTTGGCTTCTGCGTAACAAACCTCTCCAAACAGACTCCCAGCCGCCAAGCGCCTCCGTTTTTGGACCCACCGTAAATGCAAAGCGCTACAGAACCGCTATGGAACTGTCATGGCTCCCCACCCACCCCGGCCTAAGGATCCTAGGAACCAGTGCCGGATTTACGTATAAGATAAACAAGTTATAGCTTAGGGCCCCACTCTCTTGGGGAGGGCAAAAAAAATAAAGGAGGGAAAAAACTGGATGTACGTTTCCAAAATATAAGATAAAAAAACAAATAAAACCTACATACAGCAACAGTCTTTTGTGTTGTGTAGGCTCCTATGATGTAAGTCATGGGCCCTGCCTGCTAGCCTGCTCCCTAAAATATCACTGGTTTGCTCATTTCTATATAAATTACTTTGATAAAATGCATATTTTGTTATGTGCAAATGGCTTTAGATACCTATTAGGTCCATAAATTACCATATAGCATATATTCAGCACAAAAAAACAGTGATAATTTGTTGTTGACAAAGGAAAGCTGGACATATAAATGGCCCCATTACCTTCAGTAGTTTAGGGCCTCATCAAACCTAAACCTGGCCCCGCTGGGAACTATAGTTTATTATTTATTATTTATATTTTATTTATGCTTTTCAGGTTTATACATTTCACAAATTTAACAGTCTTTTTAACATTTCAAAACTTGACTTCCTTCCCCCTCTTTCTGCGGCTCCTTAAATTTATTTTTAATATCTTTTGCATATCCAAGTTAACTTAATTTGCTTATTTATTCATCCGCTTTGAATATATACTTCTATGAAACTGCAGGTTATTGCAACAATCTTGCCAATGTTCTTACCTGTTTACAATTTATCTGTAAACATTCAATAAGCCCTTCCCATTCTTTTATAAAATGTTTGTTATCTTGATTTCTTATTCTTCCGGTAAGTTTCACCATTTCTGCATATTCTGCATAAGTTTTTGGATCCATTCTTCCTTTACTGGGACTTCTGCTTCTTTCCATTTTGGGACGAGTAACATTCTTGTCGCTGTAGTAGCATACATGAATATGTTTCTATACACCTTAGGTAGTTCTGTCCCTGTAATTCCCAAAAGAAAAGCTTCTGGCTGTTTTACAAACGTTATTTTAAACATTGCTTTCAATTCATTATATATCATTTTCCAGTAAGCTTTAACCTTACCACAAGACCACTGTAGCCTTATGAGGCTTTGCCCTCGGGTGGGAAAAATATTGCGCCTGGGAAAGGGAAGTGGGAGTCAACAGACACTCAAGGAATAGTTCGGAGAAAAGGCTTTTATTTCTACCATCCATGAACTGGTAGAAGGAGCAAGTGTGATAAGTCACGAAAAGCATGCACGAAGTTCACAGTCCTGTGCACAAGCATATATACCCCTTTCCAGTTCCCTCCTCCTTTCTCCTCCCTCAGGAGTCCTGCCCATGAGTTCCTCTGAGCATGAACAGAAAGCTGTCTTGGGACTAGTGGACTCTTGGCACCCTTCCCAGGAAAGGGGGAATGAGAAGCCGAGGGGGTGGGTCGAGGAGCCCTGGTGGTTCAGCATGTCCAAGATGTTGCAACCGAATGAGATAAGATTCAGTTTCTCAGGCCTGCTATGAACAGAGCCTATTCATTAGCCTTTAAAAGTAACATTTTGCCTTTTGCCACAGCATCTTGTGAGAAAAGCAGAGAAGAGCAGAGAAAAGCTGTTTTGGATTTTTTAGAAGACAAAAGGAGTTTTGGACAGTTTTGAGGCCTGGGGTGATTTCACAGACAGGATTTGGGTATTCTGTCCCTTCACCACCACATATGATAAAAAGAACCTTATTTCTCTTTACATTTTCAACACTTACTTGATTTATATTTATATATTTTTGCCAATTTACTCGGTGTTAAGATACTATCAATATATCATTTTCATATCCTGGGAACTATAGTTTAAGGGTGCTAGGAGTTGTTAGGGGTGGCTGCAAACTCCCCTGACAAAGCTACAATTCCCCAGGTGGTTTGAACAGATGGTCCCCGCCCCATTGCCTGACCTCCCCCCTCCCAAAAAAACCCTCTTCTCAAAGAAGCATCTAAAAAGGCTCCTTCCCCTGCTTCAGGTATCTTGCAGCCTGCAATCAGCAGGCAAGGTCCTTGGAGCCAAGTCCTAGGGGCTGAAGTCACTTCAGCCCCCCAATAAAATATTTGAGGGGACTGCCCCACCAAAGTCGATGGGCATTGCCATTCGAATGGTGTGCACGCACCAGGGGTTACCCAGGTCCCCCCAATATTTTATTCAAGTTGGCTCCCCTGGAGGACAGGTGAGCCAGTGACCGTTGACCTATGGCGGGGCCTTTGCGGTGGCATTTCCCTGGTGAAGTTTATCTGCCTCCCTAGTTAATCAACTTTTAGGAAGAAATTAGAAACATTCCTGTTTTAGACACACATACTTACAGCTCCCATTTAGCCTTTTCATATCTCTTGAGTTGTTGCATAACATACCCTCCAACGTTTCTCCGATGAAAATGGGGACATCCTATTCCATCATCATCATTTTATTATTTATACCCCAGCCATCTGACTGGGTTGCCACAGCCACTCTGGGCAGCTTCCAACATATATAAAAACAGAATAAAACTTTTTTAAAAACTTCCCTACGCAGGGCAGCCTTCAGATGTCTTCTAAACGTTGTATAGTTACTTATCCCCTTGGCTTGGGGGTTGCATAACTCCATACGCTCAAACATTTCTCTGATGAAAATAGGGACGTCCTAAGGAAAAGTGCGACATTCCGGGATCAAATCAGAAACCAGGACAGCTTCTGTAAATCCAGGACCGTCTCTGGAAAATAGGGACACTTGAAGGGTCTCTTCTAAATATGCTGACATTTTTCAGTTGTACATTTGAAGGCTATACATTGAAAGTAAAAAAACAATGGAGGTTAAAATATAGTGTATTATTACTGCTGACAATGACTAATAAAGATACCGATAATTCGCTTCTGAGTGTGTGCTGGGGGACACACACATTTCACAGGCATTCAATGGGTAAAAAGACAGTTCCTGGCAACCTGGAAATCAATGGTTGAATGTTTTTAGAATGCTTTAAAAATGTTTTATCTCAATATGTTTGCCGTCTTGGGCTCCTTCAAAAGGAAGTGTGGGATATAGATTACATAAACTACTATTATTATTACTACAGTGGTACCTCAGGTTAAGTACTTAATTTGTTCTGAAGGTCCGTTCTTAACCTGAAGCACCACTTTAGCTAATGGGGCCTCCCGCTGCTGCCGTGCCGGCAAAGCACAATTTCTGTTCTCATCCTGAAGCAAAGTTATTAACCCAAGGTACTATTTCTGGGTTAGCAGAGTCTGTAACCTGAAGCGTATGTAACCTGAAGCGTATGTAACCCGAGGTACCACTGTACTACTACTAATTATAGTATCATCCATTGATTGCCTTATCCTCCACAAATTTGTGAAAATTTATTTGTGTACCACCTATTAGTGGTACACCCTCAGTGAGTGCAAAATTGGCCATGGTAAGGACAGTTTCAGAAACATCCCTACTATGTACAAATATCATTTCCATTTATTAATTTACCTGACCCTCCAAGCATTCATTTTCTTTTTTCTATAATTTTCTCATTTTTACATCCTTAAGATATCAATGACTTCCTTTCTTCTCTTTCCATGGTTCATTTTGCATATCATACTGTAAGTCCCTGCATATTTTACAAAACTATACCATTCAGTATTCCATTATTACACCCATCAAAACTTATTACACTGTTGATTTTATCTTAATGCTGCCAGCATTTTCAGCTGTACATAGTTATTTCCCATATATTCAATAAAAAAATTCCAATCTTCTCTATATGTATGTTCTTCTTGTTCTCTTATTCTGTGCATATTCTGTCAATTTAAGTTGCCATTCTTCTTTGGTTGGGACCTCGCTTGTTTTCCATATTTGGGCTAACGAAACACGGGCTGCAGCAGTGACATACATAAATAACCTTTTTTGACACCTGGGAATTTCAGTCTGAATTATCCCCAACAGAATGGACTCTGGGGTTTTTTTGGAAAGTAATTCTGAACATTTTTTCAATTCATTATGGATCATTTCCCAATACTCTTTTACCCTTTTACAAGTCCACCACATATGAAAGAAGGTTCCATCAACCTCTTTGCATCCCTAGCACTTATCTGATTCAGTCTTATACATCTTAGCAAGCCTACTTGGAATTAAATACCATCTCAAGCATTCATTTTCTAATCAGATAGAAGCACATCAAACAAGGTTACTGCTTGAGAAGCGGCAGGATACATATAGATTGTGGCTAGCATCATGTGGCTTCAAACACCAGCTGTGGGAGATTATCAAAGTGGGTAAGGTGTACACGGTCCAAGTTTCGGATGGGTTGGCAGAGATTACCTATTCTTTCTCTTACCTAAACACTGAGAGGCAGAGGAGCGAAGTTTTCTCTTTTATACCTTCCAGCCTCCCCAAACTTGCCAGAATGCAGTAAAATGCCCCTCTTCATTTACTAGCAAAGCTGTTTGCTCAAGCTATCATGGGAGCCAGATTATTAAGAGAGCTGAGACAGGTCTGACTTGTTCATGTGCTTTATTACCACTAACTTAACTCCAAACAAAGCTGTTCCTGGGTGGTGACATCATCTATTACTTATTAAATTTATAGACCACCTTTCATCCGAAGATCATATAGTTGTTCACAACTTCAAAAGCTGTAGCTGGGCAGAGGCTCAACCCCCTTTCTGCTAGATTCCCCTAGATTCTGAGAGATGGAAAATTCTTTACCTAAGCTGGGGTTGCACAGGAAAGCAGGTCTCCTGGCTGTGTGGGGTGCAGTTGGGTAGGGCATGCTTCAAGGGGCAGGACTGGATCAATACCATTTACGAAAGTATCACATTCTTAGTCCATCCTTCCTCCAAGCGTGTTCAGGGTTCCAAATATTGGATTCAGGGGAGAAACTGGGGAATCAGCTCTAATCAACAGAAACAGACAAAAACTGAACCTTGTTTCTATTCCAGCATTCAATCATCTTCTCTCTCAGCAAAACATTGGATCTATTCCGTCAGCACTTTCTGAGCCCACCCTTCCCTCAAGAAGGTCTGGGCTGCTCCCAATGTCTCCAGATGTTGAAAGTAGGCAAATAATTATTTCACCTCTGATCCCTGGGCAGTGGATCTATCTGATCAGTGGATCAATAGAACAGGAAAATGGCACTGACTCATTCCCCCCCCAACTTTTATTTTATTTGTTTCACTCAATAAAACATAGAGGAAGACAAATCCCTCTGAAACTCAAAAACAAGAGGCATCTTCCTTCAGCGGTGAAGTGGTGCAAGAAGCTCATTACAAAAGAAGCTTCATCAGCAGGAGAGCCAGGAGAAGGAATCTGAATGGGAGGGGAAGGGAGAGAGGAGAAGGAGAAGGAGAAGGAGAAGAAGAAGTGGTGGCTGCCATGGCTGGGGTACACTGAACATTTTTAACATGATTAACATCATGAAAAATCCCTCCGTCAAATGTTTTTAAGTGGGTGCAGGTGCGTTCACGAGTGCAGCCCTTCCTGGAGCCGATTACGACATTCTTCTCTGTGCGTAAAAACAAAAAGATGAGTGGTCAGAAGATCCAGTAACTGATACACACACGCCGAAAAATGCATCTAACCACGATATATAGCGTTACATGCCACTCCAATCTCCACCAAGCGTCTGCGTGAGACTCTGGGGGTTCCAGGCACTTTCCCAGGGTCATGTTTCCGTTGGGAATCAAGGCACAGTGAGGACTAGTGTCTTAAAAAAAATATGGTTTATTTTACACATATTTATACCTTAAGCCTTCCATTGAGGGTGTGCATAACATGATGCCCCAGGAATGTCCCTCATTGCCCCTCTAGTAACTTCAATGATCTTGGGTTCAAAGCAGCAGCCCGCCATGGTTCTGCAGTTCTCGCCTTTGTTCCCCTCCTTCCTCCAAGAACACTTTGCCAAATGCAACACCTCTCCTTCCGTCTGCTCCCCCCCCCCCATACACACTGGGGAGACCTCTGTTTTTTCAAAAGGAAGGCATTTTTCCTGTGTGACATCACACCCATATTACCCTGGCAGCCTCCTTTGGTGGGCTATCAACCCCTTCAGTCTTGCTTAACATCTCCCATCCCAAGCGATACCTTGAAAAACAAACTGAGCTTGCGTTTTGTTTTGTTTTTTACACTGCTAAGCTATATCTCACCCAGGGGAAAACTCCAAGCATTTAGTAATTTCTAGCACTCAGTAATTTCTAACATTCACTAACTTCTTAGAATTGCAGGTGCTTTTACACCCCCAAACTCTGGGTCTATGCCCTTGCGCGTACCTCCCCAGCCAACCTCAACAAGTAAGCAAAGCAAACTAAAAGCCTGAGCAAAAAGCCTGTCACGGGGGAGCACGGGGATGCTGGTCCCCATCAGTCTTAGATTGGAAAGGTTTCTCTCCTTATTGAGAAAACATTAAAGAGCTGATTGATTGAAACAGTCCTAGATGCCAGACTTGCAGGGCTGAACCTCTGCTGTGCCAAATCCTTGAAGGAGAAGTTAGCTACCCAGCAACGACCCTTCACTGCAATTCATATTGGCTAACATCACTAACAAGTGGGCTCATCCTTCGTGGCTGAAATCACTACTAGGATGGGAGGATAGCAGACCATGCTAACCTCCCAGGGAGCCTCCCTGCCTTACTCATTGGTGCTCAGCATCTCTGCGACTGCTATGTACGTATCAAGAAAGCATGCATGTTAATTGCATTCATGCTGCTCGCATCAAATCCAGCTTGGCCCAAGCTACTATCCAACAGCGCTGCTAAAAGGCATTTCACACAGCAGGAGTAGCAAAAGCTTAAAAGGGCCGTAGCAATAGAATCAGAAATACCTGAAAGTGTGACATAACTAACACAGTAAGTTTCAGATCCAATACATTCTGTGACCGCTGCAGAACAGTCGTCTTTGTTGGACGAGCAGCCTGGGCAAATCTTCCCATTGGCTCTGGTATTCCGTTCTGGAACTGAAAAGCAAAAGAAGTTTGGGAAGTTCAAGGGAGCTTGTGTAAGTGCCATTCTCCTTAGAAAAGACCCCCCCCCTCCGCTATGGAATTTTGTTTGCACCGCGTTTTTAAGCAAAGCGGCCTAATTTGCACCCCCTGGACCCGTGGTTCCCAACGTGGGGGCAATTTTATTTTTAAGGAGGTCAATTTGAGAATGAGTTAGACCAAGTTAATGGCCTTTTAGCTTCCTCCACGAGAATAGGAGTTCACTTTTTGAATAACAAGAATTATATGTCATGAAGGGTGAGGGGACATTGGGATTTTAGAGATGCTTAGGTGGGGCATGGCCAAAAAAAGGTTGAGAACCACTGCCCAAGACCAATACAAAATTCAGCAAAGTTAGGAACCCCTGGAACCGCCCTGTTGCCTCCACGAGGCAGAGGGCTGACGGTTGTGCAAGGGCTCTGGGAGCTTTCCAGGGCTCCCTGTGACCTTCTCAGAACTCAGTAAGCAAGGAAAACCTGCTGGGTGTGCAGGTGGTGGTAGGAATAAATAAATGAAGAACAGGGAATAGTGGGTTTCCCTGCTCTTCATATATTTATTCGCCTCCCCCTGCCACCACTCCCAGCTTGCGTAAGGTTGTGGTAGCATAAGTAAACAGATCCTAAGCTGCTGGCCCCTTATAATGTGATTTGTACTTCTCCAAATTCTGTTGTACAATTCTTGGCTCAAAACACGTACCAAAATGTATATAAAAATAAATAAATGGTATCTCAGGATAAAATACATTTAGAAATGTTGGTGTTTAGGTACATTACGTATTTAATGCTAAAATGTGCACCAGAACCATATTTAAATATTTCTACAGGTTTTTTATTTTAAAATATCCACAGATTGATGCAGAAAGAAGACAGCCTAAGCGTATTAATAAATACATGCAAGGGTGCCATAGGAACAAAATTATGCGTCCATCTCTGAACTGAACTAAGGATGGGTAGATCAGCTTATTTCCGGTCCTTGACACTTTTGCATGTGTTTGTCACTTCTTGTTCCGTCCAGTCTCTGCAATAATTTCTATTTTTTAAAAAAACAAAAACCTACAGAACAAATTGTATTCTTGAGGTATTTAAATACACATTTAAAGGCACATTTTCCTTCACACATTCTATTGTTACCTTAACTTTTTGAAAGTCTTAAATTATTGTTGTTAATTTGTTAAATTATTGTTGTTAATTTTTCTTATTTATAATTTTATTGAGGTGTCTTTTTTTGTAAATGGTGGGGTTTTTTCCTGATCAACCATCGTATAAATTTCAAGTAATAAAAACAGAGACAAATGAAAGATCTCAGCAGTGTATGGAGTTGGAGCGAGGACCAGCAGAACAACAACTGGAGAGTTTTAATTTCAGTCAAAGGACATCTGGTGGCAAGCCACGCTTTATCCCATGGGAAAGGCTGCATCTCCTACCACACATCGCAAGAAAGACTTGAGAGAATTATTATTATTATTATTATTATTATTATTATTATTACCCCACCCATCCGGCTGGGTTTCCCCAGCCACTCTGAGTGGCTCCCAACAGATTAAAAACAGAATAAAACATCAAATATTAAAAACTTCCCTAAACAGGGCTGCCTTCAGATGTCTTCTAAAAGTCAGATAGCTGTTTATTTCCTTGACATCTGGTGGGAGGGGGTTCCACAGGGCGGGCGCCACTACCGAGAAGGCCCTCTGCCTGGTTCCCTGTAACTTCTCGCAGGGAGGGAACTGCCAGAAGGCCCTCGGCGCTGGACCTCAGTGTCTGGGCTGAACAATGGGGGTGGAGACGCTCCTTCAGGTATACCTGGCCGAGGCCGTTTAGGGCTTTAAAGGTCAGCACCAACACTTTGAATTGTGCTTGGAAACGTACTGGGAGCCATTGTAGCCCCAAGGGCTCTTGCCTCCTAGGCACCGAAGGTCAAGCCCTACTGCAGCTTGTTCCCTCCAGAAGTTTTGGAACACAGCTCCCATCATTTCTCACCATTGACCATGGTGGCTGGAGCTGATAGGAGTTGCAATCCAAAGTTTCTCGAAGCCACAACCTTTGGAGAAGGCTGCCCTACAGGATGTGGGTACATCACGCTGCTCAGTATTGCCTGGCGAATCATCTACCTCTCGGTGGGTCACTGAAAATATCGTTCCAACCCTGGAAAATAATCTGTGTTTGTAACATACGGTAGGTCATTTCAAATTTCCAGAGATGTCGCTTCTTGCCCATGTACTGTAGTGACTCAGCAGTCCTTTCTCATTAGTATTTATTGTTTACCGGAAGGTTCCAGGCTGTCTGAGCCCTCCTTATATAACTGTGTGCAGGTGTGAGAGCCAGTCAGTCTTTCTTTCGTTTTCAAGCTATTCAAGTTCACTGCCTTCTGTTTTTTTGAAGCTATGCACACAGCCAGGGATCTGGCTGAGGGCTTGTAACTGCTGTGCTTATTGAAACGCTTTGGTAAAGTGTATTTGCTCATGGAGTGAGCTGTTTGTGTGATTCATTTGCTGCTGACACACTGCTGAGTTACTCTGCTGAGCTCTTTACATGCCCTGGAGTCTGAGGGAGTACTAGGCATGCATACCAGGAAAGTCCTGGGGGTGTCAGGACCCTAATCCTGACAAATGCAGCCATTTAATAAGAGCTTAAAGTATATTCTATGGGTCAAGATTTCATTAATTAATTGTTAGCCCTTCATCTGTTGGAAACCGAGACCGCACGGAATGGCCACCTCATGCAGACAGACAGAAAAAGGAGACAACTTATACAAAAACAGAAACCTACGTATCGGAGCGGCTGGATTGCAGGCATACTCTTCGCAACAGGTGGCAACCTGCCTTATGTGGCTCCCATTGCCATCAGTCATAGCGATCACACCAAAAAGGCAGATTTCAGGGTTTGCACATCCCTTTGCCATGTATACATCCTTAACTACACAAAAAAGAAGAAAAGAGAGGATACATTTAGATGGTGAGAGGTGTTACCTGCTCAGTCGTAGTGTGCTATATACTCGGGCATGCATGGAGGGAAGGGACCATGTCACAACTATTTATTTACCACAATACGATGACAGAATTATTAAAAAAAAAAAAACAAGAAAACTGGCCTCAAGCCAAAAGGATCAGTCTAAATCAGGCATCCTCAAACTCGGCCCTCCAGCTGTTTTGGGACTACAGTTCCCATCATCCCTGACCACTGGTCCTGTTAGCTAGGGATGATGGGAGTTGTAGTCCCAAAACAGCTGGGAGGCTGAGTTTGGGGATGCCTAGTCTAAATTAAATGAAAGAAATGGGCCCCACAAAACAAAATTTCCTAACTGTCAAAGGCCAAGGTAAACAGGTGGGTCTTCTTCAGCATATGGGGAAAGCTGTAGAAAGAAAGTGTCAAGTGCACCTCTGTGGGGACGGAGTTCCACATTTTAGGGCAGGGCTTTCCAAACTGTGTGTCGCGACACGTTGGTGTGTCAGCTGCAGTGCATAGGTGTGTCACATGAACGGTCCCTGCTCTCCTCCCAGGGCTGGAAAGGGGTTAGTTTAACCTCTGGTTTGCTAGTAAAACTAAATTACTGTGTCGCGAAATGATGCATGCCTAAAAAGTGTGTCACCAACATGAAACGTGTGGAAAGCTCTGTTTTAGGGGCTGCCACAGAGAAAGCCAGGCTCCCTTTCCGTGGACTTCTATGGGTAGTGGAACTGCTGAGGTAGGCACCTCTGCTAATTTTAACACCTGTAAGGAACTGCAGAAATAGAGGCAGACTTTCAGATATCATGGGTCTAAGTTGTTTAAACACCAATATTTCGAACACCTTGACTTGGGCCTAGAAGCAAGATGATAACCAGTGCAGTTGTTTTTAAAACAAGGATGGTAAGAGCTCTAAATAGAACCCCGTCCAGTAACGTAATCTTTGCATTTTGTATCCGTTGAAGTTTCTGCATCATCTTTAAGGGCTGCCTCACATAGACAGAATTGCAGCCAGAGCCGTCTTTCCCATAGGGCTTAGTGGTGCGTTGCGCCAGGGCGCAGGCCTCTCAGGGGCGCCCCAGCGAGTGGGGGAGCTGCATGGCTTTGCCGGTGGCCCCCCTTTACCTGCACACCTGCCAGCTGCGCCCCACCAACTATATGGCTGGTGGGTGGGCGGGCAGCTTGCATCCCAAGCCTCTGCAGGAGGAGAGCGAGCCCCGCAGAGGCTTAGGGTGGAAGCTGCGCCCCGCCAACTACCGTATTTTTTTGCACCATAACACTCACTTTTTTCCTCCTAGAAAGTAAGGGGAAATGTCTGTGCGTGTTATGGAGGGAATGCCTACGGGTGGCATGCCTATGGATTTTCCTCCTCTAAAAACTACGTGCGTGTTATGGTCGGGTGCGTGTTATAGAGCGAAAAATACGGTATATGGCTAGCGGGCTCGCAGCTTCCCTCCCAAGCCTCTGCGGGGATTGTTCTCCTGCAGTGGCATGGGGGAGAGTTGCGGGGCCCCCCCATAGCTGACAGTGCGCAGCTTTGCCCCCACTATCCAAGGTAATTTGGGGGTGCTGGGCGGATATTTGCACTCCGGCGCCGCATTTGCTAAAGACAGCCCTGATTGCAGCAGTCCAATATTAAGACACACTGAAGGCTTAATCTAGGCCTTACGTATAATCGACCCCCCACCCCAAGTATAGCTTTGATTCCCAAGAACCTACCAGCTCTCTGTTGGCTATTGGTAGTAGCAGAAACCAAGTTCTGCACAGAGGGCCTCAGATGTGTTCTCTGGTTAAAATATATAACTCCCCTGGCTGGCAAAAAGAACAGGTCTCTGCTGGAGGCCTGGGATAAATTCAGAGTGGACGGTACTGGGCAAAATGGAGAACTGATCTCAGTCAATATTAGGTGGCACCACTCATTCACATATTTTGCACAAAAATGTGGCCTATTCACTATATGGCCTGGTTGACCTATGATCCCTCTCATCCACCTTTACTGTTTTCAAGCAGAGAGCTGGAACAGGCGTAAAATTCTTCAGGACAAATCTCCCTCTTGCTTGTGCAGTTGTTGACTCCCTTGCAAATCTCACACTCTATAGAGGCACCTGAAGGAGGGAACAGAAGGGCTTTCATGTAGTGTATGGCATGCACAGAGTTCAAAGTTATCAACTCCAGAAGAGGGTGTCAAGTCCAAATGAATTGCTAATGCAGTGCTCTAACATAAAACTAAATGACTCTTGGGTCCCTTCCAGCTCTGTGATTCTATGATTTGCGATATACAGTATTGCCAGGTCAAAAATTATGAATACAGTGGTAGCTCAGGGTACAGACGCTTCAGGTTACAGACTCCGCTAACCCAGAAATAGTACCTCGGGTGAAGAACTTTGCTTCAGGATGAGAACAGAAATCACGCGGTGGCAGCGGGAGGCCCCATTAGCTAACGTGGTACCTCAGGTTAAGAACAGTTTCAGGTTAAGAACGGACCTCCAGAACGAATTAAGTTCTTCACCCGAGGTACCACTGTACATATAAATTAACATACACAAATTTTATGCAAAGAGTATTTTCTGGTTGTCATTGTTCTTTGATCATGCATTTTCTCATTTTATGAACAACGTGAAAGCAGTTCCCCCTACTTGGATCTGAACGGCTGCATTGGTCCAAATGTAATAATTTTCCTTTTCTGCAAAGCTAAAAGTAACATACAGTTCAAGGCAACAGCGGTTGGTCATGGTGACAGGGGCTGTGTTGTTCTTCCTCCTTCTCAATGCCATTGTCCCCAATGTTGCTGCCAGTTCTTGGGTGGCAGGGAGTCAGCATGCTGCCGGCACGGCAGCAAAGCTAAACTGATATTCCCAATATTGCACTTGTGCCATGGCAACCTCCCCACTGCTTTGCTCTCTCCCTCTAAGTAACCAGCAGCAAATCGTGGCACTGGAAAGCCAGGAGTGCAATGCAGCCCCATCCTGCCCTGCTGGCCCCTACTGGTTCCAGGGCATGTGCAGAGTTCCAGATGTCCTGAGTTACTCAGTGGCACCCATCCCATAGTGAGCTTACCTGTAGTTAGAAGTACAGAGAAGAGGAAAAGCCCCAAGAGAAACTTCATGTTGATGGGAAGCACACGGTGTGAAGCCTAGGAGAAAGGAAGCAAATTTTGTGGCTTGAAGGACCTGCAGAATACTCAAAGCAGTGGCATAAACAAACAAACAAACACCAAAAGAGTAAAGGTAAATAAACCCACAGGAAATTCGCTGTGATAAGCTGCAAAGAGGAGTTTCAGTTAAAAGTGGTCTAATCTATGGAAGAAAAGCCATATTGACAATCTGGTCAGCAGCGGAACCCAAGATAACTGTTGTATAGTCACGGTTTGGCCAACACCGCCTTCCCCTTTCTAGGGTTAGATAATAAATTGCAACAAAAACACAAAGCTAGCCTGAACTGAGGAGAGCGACCATAACATGGATTATGAATAGGTGGCCATCCCAAAATTTGCAGTTAGGCAGATGACCGTTGGATGTACAGCAGCCACCTTCCTGGTCGAAGCGGTGGTGGCTCTTCCCTTGACCGACTACTGCCGTAGGGCCTTCTGAGGAAGAACTTCCGTTTATTTTATTTATTATTTTATATTATTTATTATGTGCCCCGCCGGGAGTTGCAAGAGGGAGCAGTGATGCCTCCTTCAAAACTGGCTTTCCGTTCCCTTCTCTAAAACATGTACCCTGCACAAAACCCCTCTGCAACCTCCAGCCCGTCAGCGAAAGGATTCGGCCGCCGGCATGCGCCACTCGTGGAGCAGAGGCAGGCCTGGCTTTTCCGAGGGCTTTCCCAGACCCGTTTCAGGTGAAGGAGGTGTAATCCTGCCCTGCTCCTGAATACGTCTACCTTTCCCAGCTCACACGTCTCTTACCCTCCTTGCTGGGGCCGTTGCCCTGGCTGCCAGCTTTCCCCTCCTTTTACTCCCATGTAAACGCGCCTGGGGCCTAAGAAGCCTTTAAGTAGGGCCTCCTTACTATGTGGGCTGGAGAGGGGCAGGGGCTACATCAAGCAGGCAGAACGGAAGGAGCAGGAGGAGGCCTGAATTCCCGGCCTCTTCCACTTATACCAGGGGTAGGCAACCTAAGGCCCATGGGCCACAAGCGGCCCATGGGGTTGGTTTAACCGGCCCATAAGCCGTCCCTGAACTGAGCCGCCCGCTCAGCAAGTCCCTGTGCGCTGCACTAAACCGGCGCAGCATGGCAGACATTAGAAGTCGCATCTGCGCAGATGCAGACGCCAGAAATTGCGGGTGCGTGTGCATGATCCGGCCCACAGAGGGATCTCCTCTGGAGTAAACCATCCCAGGAGAGGTAAACCTTGCCAACCCCTGGCTTATACCCAGAAATGGAGCAGCAGCCTAGTGACCTCCAGGCTCACCTTAGGGCCGGTACTTATGGGCCTGCAGCCCCCACCCCCACTCACAAACGAGGAAGGAGTCGAGCCTCTCGCTTTTGCATTCAGCAGGGTTTTCACAAGTTGCCGTAACCAACTTCCAGTTCTCTGTATTAGCTTCTGGGACGGATGGTTACGCATCGACCCCAAATTAAATAGAGGGAATGCATCTGCACGAAATTTGCCCGTGGCGATTTGCAACGTCCGTTTGCAGTTTTGGAAAGAGCTGCTATCGGTGAAATGGAAATGATGCCTTGCTATAGCAGGGAAGGCTCTTGGGGAGTTCAGTTTCGTGGGTTCTTATCTTTAAACGGCCGGGGGTGAGGGGACAGCTCTCAAATAATAGAGGACACTTTGAAACAGAATAGAGAACTGTCCTCTGTAATGTAAGACATAGTAGGGCTTTTAACACAGACCTCCAGCAAGGTTGCTCCTAGTCTAATATAGATGAAGGAAGGGAGGGGACTGGTGGATGAAGCTTTCTTAAGAAAACAGTACATGCTTCATTTCCTCTTATCTGAATACAACAACACATCCCCACTTGAAAAATCAGGAGTAAGATTTTGTTGGATATGTCTGTGCTGTTAACGGAAAAATCCGAGGGCTCCCTTGGACAAAAACAAAGACACCAACCAGGATAACTTGGAGCAAAACAGCAGCCTGTAGGCTTGGCCTTTATTGAACTGTTGCAACAGGGTGCTCCCCTCACTTGCAGGAGAGAGGAAGGACCCAGAAAAATGGTGTGCAAGGTCTTATAAAGACTTTTGAAATTGCCACCCTGTAGATCAAGACCACCCCCCAGAAACATCATACATACATCACAGAAAGGAGGGGTTGAGGGAGGTTGTGGTGGTAACCTGAGTGTCCTGTCACCTGGCTGTTTCCTCCTTTCCCCCCTCCCCATGAGTACTTTCCAGGTGACAGAGGGGAGTTTGTAGTTTCCTGCCCCTAGAGGGAAGAGCTGATTATTGTCCTTTGTTCCAGTCCGTGCTGAATCCACTCCCATATGCAAGTTCTTTGTGATCTTGATGGTCTTCTGTCTAGGACCATCAGGGTTGGCATAGCAACTGGGCAGGGCTCCTGTGGATGTGCTGGTATGCTCAAGGGATTATGGCTGCCCTGTATCAAACCTTCCCCATTTTGTAGTCCTTCCTTCATGGAGTAAAATAAAAGTGGAACAGTGCAAATCTGATGCATGGTTGATTCTCTATGAATCTACAACAGAAGCATAGCGCATGCAGTGTGCGAGTGTGAGTGTGTGTGAAGTCTGTACAAACTGAATGACTGGGGGGGGGGGTTTCCTGCTACAGTGCCCAAGCTTGCATCAGGGGACGACTCAGCTATACAGGTGCAAACAAAAACGTTTTAAGTGTGTTGTAAAGTGAAACATACAAATGTGACGCTAGATGGCAACAGTGAGCAATGGCAAATTCAATGTGTTTTTCAAAATGTTTTTTAAAAAAAGCATTTTCACAGTGTTTCTTTACATGTGCGTAGGATTCCACCAGGGTGTCTCATCACACTTTCATTCTTTGGAAGCATATTGGATTTCTGTGTTTTTGCGGCAACCACCATGGGATCCCCGCCCCCCACCCCCACCAGAAAAAATGCCCTAGAAAAGGGATGGATGAATCTGCTGGTTTCAGATTTTTTTCTGTTTCTCATTTTTCCATTTTTAAGTCCTCTATGATTCCACATCAGTTTGCTTTTGCTTTTTTAAAAGCACTTCCAGGTGACATTCAGGACTCCACAGCCAAGCCCCAGTCTTCGCCAATGACTACAGAGAGGGTGGCAGAGGGGCTGATGGTGGATCACCATAGCATTCTCTTCTTGTTGTTTTGTTTTTTAAATGTTTTATATTCAGAGATGTACTGGCCAGTCACACGGCTACAGCTGCTCATTTTCTTATTGTCACTTTTAAAATATATTATCATTTTATAAAGGAAAATTGTGCTTATTTCCAAGTAATTGTGAATTTACCATGAGGGCAGCAGAAGCAAGCCTCCTTTTATTCATGTAGCCATGATGGCACTGTGATTTAAGTGAGACTCCTGTCTATGTGGATTTTTATACTTCTCAATGGTACACACACACACACACACACACACACACACACTCCAAATGGGTGTAGAATTTTCCCCTTCACAGTTTTTGGAAGCATCCCTGCCAAGTGCTATATAAATCGCACTTATCAAAGGACCACATTCTTAGGCCATCTTTCCCGCAAGCAGTTCAGGGCTCCCTTGAAATGCCACCAAATGTTGGATTGAGTCAAATAATTATTTCAATTTGAGCAGCAGATGAGTAGATTCAGGCAAAGAGTGACTCTAATTTCTTTTCCACCTTCAGTTAGCAAAAATGCATAGAACAAGTACAAATACCTGCTGGAAATGTAAAGAAAAAGAAGGTACCTTTTATCTCATGTGGTGGTCGTGTAAGGTAATAAAAGCTTCAACTGAAGACATGACCATATCAATGCAGTAAGTCTGAGGTCCAGCACAACACACCATGTCTGTCTTCTTTGCAGGACAGTCGTTCTTTCAGACATATTTTGAAAACTGCAGGCCTTTGCAATCTGTTTCAATTAGCAAGTCATCCACAATTTGACCCATGCATTAGTGCACTGACTTGTTTGTTTGGAGATTTAAACATTAATAATGCACGGTGTTGCCTTTTTTAAAAGCATCACTGCAACTGGAGATGTAAGCAACAGAACCTGGGATGTTCTTCATTCAATGCTTGCAAAGATACTTGATGGAACCTGCGTTTTAAACATGGATGGTATATTTGAGCCCAGCTTCAGTTGTTAACAGGCTGAGTATTATGATCCACAAACAATAGATTGGCACAGCAATGTATTTAAGACTAAATATTCCACTGCTGTTAATTCATGGCTGCTTGCTTCCTCCCTCCCAGATCTCTGGCCATGATGTCTGAGGCTGATAGGAGTTGTAATCTAACAACATCTGGAGGGTCCTTAGTTTCAGGTTTGGCTGGAAAGATGAAGAAGCGATTCTCGAAACAAGGAAAATTTCATTCAGTATGCAAGTTTATTACTACATGCTCGTAATACATAGCACACAGATAAATACTCTAGCTCACTAAACCTCATCTAGTCCTATACAGAAAACAAACTACTGTTTTCCCATCAAATACTGAAGTTTCTGTTGCAAAGGCAATTTACAGAAGGAATTGGTGGCATAACCAGAGCAAATAGACAGAGTGTTGGCCTCCCACTGGACTGCGGTTCTTCTTCTTAATCCAGTTCAAAATCTGGGCTTTGTTTTGGTGTGATCAAACATTGGAGAGTCCCCAGCCCTGTTCTGAAGAAGTGAACAGCTTTCCAACCTGGGTGTTGGCCCCCATTCAGCACATTCTCTTCCAAGATGAGTGCCTGACAATATGGACCCACTCAGAGCTCTGTGTGACGCAACACTCTATCGCACATCTATGCAAATAGTAATGTAAGACAGGTTAGGGCCCCTACAAACTGGCGTTCTATTGTGGGTGAGTTCTGCAACATATTATAGACACAGTAATAGTATATCGGTGCATGAGTGGTGCATTTGTTCTGCTTTATGAGTTGTCACATCATGTTTTCCCAATACTACCGCATCATCCAGAAGGGCTGGAGCACAAGAAAAGTGGGACAAAAACAAAGCAAACACCCCGAACATTTGTGGTTTGGAAAGTTATGGGATTTCAACATGAAGTTACAGGAAGGGCACTGATCAGAAAGGAAGTAGTATAGCAGCCCCAAAACATATTGAAACATGTATAGTATAGTATAGTATAGTATAGTATAGTATAGTATAGTATAGTATATAGTATATAGTATATAGTATAGCCCCAAGAATATCATAAGCACAAATCAACTGATAAAAAAGGACATTCAAGGGCCCCTTTATTCTTAGAGGCTAATGCAAAATCTCCTTGATATGTCCTTCACCTTAAAGTTCCTCTGTTCTTTATATGTATAGATCACCTAAGTTCAGAACCCTGATTTTTCGAGTGCTCATGGCACTCACAGCCAAGTACTCCCCATGAACTCTGCAGCTTCTATTATTTTCTTTATCTCGTTTCATGTATGAATCACTTCCATGAAATACCCAAAGCAATTTAACAATATAAGCAGGAAAAGCATATAAAGAATTTTACTTGCAAAACCATTTCCTCCCCCCAAAAACCCCAAAACATTGATTTTGCGGATTCCATGTTACTAGCAGATCTCTAAACACAATAGATAGGTGTCTGGTCTTTATTTGGGACTTTCAGTGCTCAGAGGCTTTTGCACGAACATTCTCCGCATCTTCCTCGACATCTTGCAGAAAGCATTGCAGCATGTAGTAGATGGTTTTGAAAGAAATCGTTCCACTGACTAAACTGCCCAACACAGGTATGAACGCAACAATCTGTTCTAGCACTGTTGGTGCTTTACTCTTGGCCAAGAGATCAAGTACAAATTCTTCGCTGATCTCATTAGCCAGTGGAGACTTCTTAATCACTGATTTCAGCTCACTTAGAGGTTTACCAACCCGGTTTGCAAGACTGCACAGGGACTCTTCATCCAACCCAAAAGCCATGCAGAGCTTTTTGAGTGTTGTCACCAAGAAGAAAATATGCCAAGGTAATTTGAGAGCTAACCGAGTCACACAGCCAAAATAGGAAGACACAAGGGCCTGCCTCCATATAAGTTTCCTCATCTCAGATTTCTTCTTCTCCAGGATATCTCTTGAGAAAGTTGGCATTGAGAGAAGGAGCGCGTGTCTTTTGAGATGATTCAGTTCATTCTGCAAGGTTTCTTGCAGAATGGGGAAATCATACATGCTCAAATCCCAATTTGATATCAGAAAAACCTTTGGAGAAGCCTCTCCCAGTTTTCTCAGTTTATCACAACAATCTTGCCTTAAGTCCTCAAGTGTCTCCATTTCATTGAAGTTGGGTTTCCTTCTTTCAGCAGCCATGCAAAGATTAATTTTAGGGTGCACATAGTAAAACTTCTTTTTCATTTTCTGAATCTCACGAGCCAGCTGGGTGTCACTCTCTGTAAAACGTTCTGAAGCGATGATAAAGAAATCGTATTTGCTAAAATCTACCTTCTCCAGATACTCATCTGCTTTGAATTCATCCGTTCCAATTCCTGGTAGATCCCATAGTGTCACCTTGGGGAACTTCGGGTGCTGATATTTTGTCACAGACATGGTTGTCTGTTTCAGCCCCGTCTTAGCTGAGCCCTCTCCAAAATCTGGCATACCCCGCAAGGCATTGACAAGAGAAGACTTGCCAGTACCTGTATGCCCTGTGATGGCAATGTCAAGTGTGGCATTGCTTAGCAAATCTAACTCTTGCCGAATCTGGGCTACCACATCTGGGAGATTTCTTTGTCTTAAAACAGCCTTCATATTTTCCAAGTCAGCAATAAAAGTTGAGATGTCACACCACTTGGCTCTTCTAGATGAATCACTTGGTCTAGGAAAGAAAAAAGCATTTTCAATATTAAAAAATACTACATATTTTTCTTTGACAACCTAGATATAGCTGCATGAAGGTGAACTGATGTATGTAAGAGTAGTACTGATGGAGGTTATTGCATGCCAAGGCACTTGAGCCACAAAGTTCCCAGGAGAACAATAAATCACACTGACATGGAATATTTTGGTTTATGTGTTCAAATAGGCCACAACTTTATTGGTTACAGATGTGAGTGGTTTGGCTCAGGCATTGGGGTGAAGCCAGGCGGTATCTTGACTCTCGCCCATCTGCAGGGAATCCACAGAAGGATAAACCACCAATAGGGGGTGCCCTATAACTTACATTAGATAGTGGCACCCTGCGGAGTCCCCACAGGGGCTGCAACATGGCCCTAGCCCACGTCCAGGCTTCGGACAGGATTCACACCCCAGATCCTTTTAACAGGATACCCTTACTGAGGAGGGGCAAGCAAGGCAACAACCTCCCCTCCATCCAAATGAAGGCTTACCCAATGCCTAACCTCACAGAAGTTGTGACGATTGCTACTAGGTGGGTGAAAACCAAATGGCTGGTGCCCATTTGCCAAGTGGAAAAAATTCCTACCCGGCCCGGCCCCAACAACATGGCGACCCACAACTGCCATAGCAAGGTCATATCAGAGCAAAGCATGAAAAGAGGGTGGGTAGGTAGGGTTATCTGATGAAGAGGCGAGGAAGAGGAAGCCAGCCGGCCCGCCGGCCATGCCAAGTTTAAATGGCCCATGGCCACACCCACCCTGGCCGCAGATTGGCTAGGGCTATTGCCAGCACAGATGACTGCGCTGGCTGTGACGCAGGGAGGGGAGGCAGCGTACCTCCCCCTACACCGGAAAACTGTTGAGGCTCGGCTGACTGGCTGCAATGCTGTACACCAGAGAAAAGGTGAACGGACCAGCCAGCTAGACAAAACCCATATGGAGACTCTGGGCTTCCCACCTTCAGCCCTGAAGCCCAAAGGTTGAAGGGGGAAACTGAGGATCAAGACAGTGCTCAGGGTGTGTCTGGAGGCTATTGGTGTGTGCAGGTGAGATATTAATGAAATGGGACACTTCAGGCTGCCTTAGAACCATTGTGTGTTCCTCATTTATATGGAAAGGGCATATAGCTCGGTGGCAGAGCATTTGCATCAAATGCAGGCGATCTCAATCGCTGGCGCCTCCTGTTTGGGCTGGGAACATGCCCTTTCTGAAACCCTGGAGAGCTGCTGCCAGTCCATGTAGCCAATACAAGGTCTAGCTCAATAAATGTTCTGACTCAACATAAGACAGCTAAGTTCCTTACTAAGGTTCTGTACAGGGTGCCATTACTTCAAATATAATTATAATAATAATTTATTATTTATATGTATTGTTTGAGTCAGGAAGGACCCTGACAAAGAGAAGGGATTCACCTTCTGCAACTGAAACCTCCAGACACAGTTTGCTTTGTGCTCTACCCCCTGCCAACTTAAATGGCAAGAGCCTTGCCAGAGGCTTGGAAGGAACTGAGGAGCATCAGATGCTAACATAAATGGCCTAAGCTGAACCCAACATACCTATCGAGTATCTGGCTTAGTACTAAGGCATACCTCTTGAGATCAATAAATTCATCTTGCAGGGTCCTTTGCAGGAGGGGGAAATCATACATGCTCAAATCCCAATTTGAGATCAGAAAAACCCTTGGAGACGACTCCCCGGCCTTTGCCAGATTTTCACAGTAGTAGTTCCTTATTTCCTTAAGGGTTTTGTCCTCCATGAAGTGTGGGTTTCTTTTTTCATCAGCTATACTGACATCCACTTTGGTGCGCACATAGAGAAACCTCTTCTTTCTTTTCCAAATTTCACGAGCCAGCATGGCATCGTGCTCAGTGAAGCTTATTTCACTAACAATGATGAAGAAATCGTACTTGTTGAAATCCATCTCTTTTACGTATTTCTCTGCTTCAAACTCATGTGTTCCGATTGCTGGCAGATCCCAGAGAGTTACGTCGGGGTAGCTGGGGCACAGGTACCCTTTGAGTTCCTTAGTACCTTGTATCATATCAACCGTGGCGGCATCCTCCTCATTGTCTGCCATATTGCACAGGGCATTGACCAGGGATGATTTGCCGACACCTGGCCCCCCCGTGATGGCAACGTCCAGGCTGCTTTTGCCTGGTGGGTGTTCTCTTTGAGCTGATGTGTCTGATTGTGAGCTGTTAGCACTCATAGCTGCTCCTCGGGGACATTCATCAGGTCTAAGTAAGAACAGAAATATAGCAATGGTTAACTCCTTCTTACATAAAGCTCCTGCTTAAAATAGCTGCTTTGTAGGCCCAGTCCAAATGGCTCACATTAAAGTCCTAAATAAACAAATATATGAAAGACTGACTCCTTTCCTAAAGACCGCCCCACAAATACCTGCAGTTCAAAGGTGCCACAGCAGTGGCCACACATGAGTAGGGAAGTGAAGACATTGATCCAACAAGGAAACACCCACTGCCACCCCATTATAAGGGAAAGGGGGGGCACAGCTTTGTGCTACAAGCAGCAAATGTTGCTGAATTACAGTTCCCATCAGCCCCAGCAGGCATGGCCAATGGGCAAGGAAGATGGGAGTTGTAGTTCAGTGATATCTGGAGGGCCAAACGTTCTTTACACCTAACATACAATATCGGATTCAGGGAAATTGAAATGGATAGCCCACTTCATAGAGGCCTGACTCATGCAATGCAAGGCTTATCAGTTCAGTTATCAGGTAACCCCATTGCGTCCTTCCCACCTCACTGTTAAGGTCTTTGTGCAAGAGAGCAAGACTCTGGAGAAACCAGGGGAGGGGTATAAATAACATTATTATTATTATTATTATTATTATTATTATTATTAGTGCTTGATGCCAGGAGCTGGAGTGGGGTACAGTCAACTAAAAGAGGAAAGTGAGGGGAGATATAGTCTCTACATCCTTATATATGGGTACAGCCACAACAACACAGAAAAAAGAAACATTAAACAAGTTTGCTTTCATATTGAGGTGAAGATATGTAATTGAATAAAGTTTGGCTTCAGCTGAAACCAACATACTTATTGTGTATCTTCCTTCCTGGGTCCTGGGGTGGTAGTAAGGCACGCCTCTGGAGATGAATACATTCATCTTGCAGAGTCCTCTGCAGGAGGGGGAAATCGTACATGCTCAAATCCCACCTTGAGATGAGAAAAACCCTTGGAGAAGACTCCGCGGCCTTTGTCAGACATTCACAGCAATCTTTCCTTGTTTGCTCAAGGGTTTTCTCCTCATTGAAGCTTGGTTTCCTGCTTTCAGCAAATATCATAACATCCACTTTGGTGCACACATAGAAAAAACCCTTGTTTGTTTTCTGAATTTCGCGGGCCAGCACGATGGCATCATCAGTCAATCTTCTTTCGCCAACAAGGATGAAGAAATCGTACTTTTTAAAATCCATATCCTTTATGTATCTCTCTGCCGGAAACAGAGGTGGTTGAATCCCTGGTAGATCCCAAAGGGTTACATCTGGATATTGGGGGTACAAGTACCCCGTTGGTTCCCTAGTACCTTTTATCACATCGACCGCAGCTGCACCAAGCTCATCATCTGCCATATTTCGCAGGGCATTGACCAGGGATGATTTGCCGACACCTGAGTCCCCTACGATGGCGATATCAAGGGTACGTTTGCCAGATGGCTGCTTCATTTGAGCTAATGTGCCTTGTTTGCTGCTCTTACAAGCCATGACTGCTCTTCTGTGAGATTTATCACACCTAAATAAGAACAGAAATATTGCAGCAGTTAATGCCTTCTGTATCTAAGTCCTCTTTTAAAACAGCTGCATCGGTTGCCAGTTCATTTCCAGGTCCAGTTCAAACTACAGTGGTACCTCAGCTTACATACACTTCAGGTTACATACGCTTCAGGTTACAGACTCCGCTAACCCAGAAATAGTGCTTCAGGTTAAGAACTTTGCTTCAGGATGAGAACAGAAATCGTGCTCCGGCAGTGCGGTGGCAGCAGGAGGCCCCATTAGCTAAAGTGGTGCTTCAGGTTAAGAACAGTTTCAGGTAAAGTACGGACCTCTAGAACAAATTAAGTACTTAACCCGAGGTACCACTGTACTCCCATTAGTGTTTAACTCCATTGAGCATTCCAAGGAAACCATGTTCTGGGTAAGCACTAGAACCCCAGGAATCTCTTACCAAACAGAAATTGGGGTGCAGGCAACATTATAGTTATTACAACATCTTAAGTAAATAGCTTCAACAAATGCTGTTGAAATTCCTGTACAGCTTCATCTGCCTCTCAGTTTTCCTGCCTAAACCCCCTGAAATGGCTGCAATGCTTTGATGAGAAGCCTTCAAACTGCATAAATTGGTCTTCCTGTCCTGGTGAGGGTTTCTCCTGGAGAGAGAAACTCTGATATACAGGGGTACCTTGGTTCCCGAACTGCTTAGTTATCGAACATATCGGCTCTCAAATGCTGTAAACCCGGAAGTAAGTGTTCCGGCTTGTGAACGTTTTTCAGAAGCCGAATGTCTGACATGGCTTCTGCTAGAGTGCAGGAAGCTCCTGCAGCCAATCAGAAGCCGTGCCTTGATTTCAAACAGTTTCGGGAGTCGAACTGACTTCCAGAATGGATTAAGTTTGAGAACCAAGGTTCCACTGCAGTGCTTGCTTCTGGGAGTACGCATACCCCTAAACATTTGCTGAATCTTTGTACTTTTGTCCATTTACTGTATTTATTTTTCCCCATTTGAACTATAAAATGGTGATTTTCTTGAGTCAAAATGAGAGTACCCCTAAACCTTTTTAAAGGGAAAAAAAGCACTGTTCCACTGTATATTTGATTGTGCTCCTTTCAAACATACGTTCACTGCTGAATACACTGCTGAATAGTAGGAACGGTTGAAAAATGGGAAAGTGAGCAAAGAAAGTAACAGAATTACCGTAATTAGGGGGGAGCTCCTTTGAGAGCTGAAAGGCAGCATAGAAATACTTTTACAATCAGCAAATTAAAATTGTTTACCATTGGCAGCCCATAGCTCTTTGGAAAAACAGCAACTCCCTTAAAGTGACAAGTTGGACAGCTGTTTGAGACGATTGCTTTCTGTTTCATCTAGAAAAAATTATCTGGTACATGGCACACTTTGAAATATTTTTTTTACAGTGACAGTGAAAGCAGGCTTCGCTTCCCTCTGCCTTCCGAACTATGAATAACAGCCAACAAGGAAGTGAGGCAGAGTGGTTTCACAGTGAACTGAGTTCTGTTCTGAGAATATGAGCTTGGCCTTGGTGGGCCATTGGCCTGATCCAGCAAAACTCTTCTGTTCCGACATTTACATGGGTCTCAACAACAACAACAACAACAACAACAATGTGACAAAGCAACTTGAAATGTAGTTTGGTTCTGACTGGGACCTTCCAGAAGCCAAGATCCAAGTCTGGAGAAGGGGCTATGTGTGGGACTTAATGGGGATGAGGAGGGAGATGCATTAAGCCAATGTATTATGATCCATAAACAGTAGACTGGCGCAGCAATGTATTTCAGACCAAATGTTCCATTGCTGATAATTCCTGGCTGCTTGCCAGCACACAGCTCTGCTCAAATGGCTGATTTCTGAGAAGGCAAAACCTAGACTGGGTGGCTCTGTTTCCTCTTCATTGTAAACCATTTGGAGAACAAAAACAAACAGAAATCTCTCCAGCCAGACTAGCAGAAGCTAAGCAAGCACATAAAGCCTTCCCCAGCAGTCAAGAGAATGCAGAGGGTCAGAGGGGTGGTTGCCCCGGGTGCAAAATTTTGAGGAGGCACAACCAGGCTGCCCCACACAGGTGATGTCTCACTTCATCTGCCGTCACAGCAAGGCGCCTCCGCCTCCACCAGGCCTCCATTGCAGCAGCTGGCGTGCTTCAGGAAGGAAGTACATCAGTGGCCTTGGCACAGGTGGCAGGCTTTGGCAGAGGACTTGCGGCAGCGGAGACAGAGTGTGAGTTAGGCAGGGAGACAGGGGGTGGCAGGCAAGTGAGCGAGCGATGGTGTGGGGGGGCAGACATGTGGTGGCAGAGACAGGTGGGAGCAGGCATGGAAGGGCTGACCCCAGCATAGCCTAGCCCAGAACGCCTCTCTGGGGGTGCCGCCAACCCACGGTACACCACTACTCCCAACTACACATTTTGTTTCCTAGTGCACTCCCAAAAACAAACTAACAGCCTTTGGGCACCAAAATATGTGTGACAGAGTTGAGTACAGGGGGAACGGAAGCCCTGCAAGTCCCAGAGGATGTTTGCAAATGTTTTTAGTAAACAGGGAAGAGGAACAGAGAAAGATGAAGGACGGGACAGCGACTATGTGGGCAGCTTCCGAAGAGCTTCTCTCTCCACTGTGTCAACCCAAAGGAAAGGAAAAGAGGCAGGCGCCAAGAGGAGGAGAAGGAGGAGGGCAGCTTCCTAGCAGCTAAAGAAGGATAGTATGTCAAATTAACACGCAGCATCGTTTGGGAGGGAGACCCGGGTTGGTTTCAGAGCAGTTATTTAAAGTTATTATAGTAGCACTAGGTCAATAGTGAAGGCATGTTATTTATTCCCTTTGTAGCAGGGAAGAAGGGCAGCCGTCTCCAACATTAATAATAGTAATAATAAGCAACTCTGGCCGCCCCGCCCCACCCGCCTAGCAAGGAGCTCAGAGTCGATCAAGCTCAAAAAGAAACGGAAATCATCATAATCGCAAGGGAAAAGTTCAGTTCCTCACCTGCTGCCAGCCCGATTTTTTTACAGCAAACCTCAGTCCACTCCTCGGAGATTTCGCTTCCAGGTTTCTAAACACTTTTCTCCTTCCAACTCTCTTCCTTTCTCTCTTTTATTCCCTCTAACTCCTGCTCGTCGCACTACTAAAAGCAAAAACGAAAGCGAAGTTGCGAGCGAAGACAACGTAAGATTGCAGGAGAGTTTGAAATTTTCCCTTCCCCCCATAGTGATAATCGCCTATTTCCCGATGGCAGCAAATAGCAAAAGCAGCATTCCCCGCTAGGGGGAGCACCGAGCAGCTGCTTGATAGATGGTCGAGATTCTGCCTTTCCTGGGAAGTCCCGAAGGATCCCTTGTGAAACTTGAAGCATCAGAGGTGGTTAATCCTTCACCTCCGTTGTTGTCGCCTCTGTGTCAGTCTCAGCAGCACCCGAGTTGTCTGCAAGCCCACACAATCCAGATATTATTCCTTGACGGCTTCCTTGTTGTCTGCTTTTGCATTGTTACATTGATAGGCTGCGAAAAGTGGAAGGGCTCTAAAGCTGTGGGGGTTTGGGGCATCTTAGAGGAAATAGTTTAATTTTTTGAAACATTCCGATATTCTGCAAGGTGCTGAGCGGCTTTAGAGCCTGCAGGACAAGCTGGCTTTGCAGACCAAAAGAAATACAATACCTGGTTACGCAGATGCAATTAACACAACATATAGAACACAACAGGCTGAATGGTAATGTTTGTAACAAATGTTTTACTGGTTACTTCCTAACATACGAATCAAGTCCAGGATGTACACCATATACAGTGGTACCTCAGGTTACATATGCTTCAGGTTACAGACTCCGCTAACCCAGAAATATTACCTCGGGTTAAGTACTTTGCTTCAGGATGAGAACAGAAATCGTGCGGCGGCGGCACGGCAGCAGCGGGAGGCCCCATTAGCTAAAGTGGTGCTTCAGGTTAAGAACAGTTTCAGGTTAAGTACGGACCTCTGGAACGAATTAAGTACTTAACCTGAGGTACCACTGTACAATCCTGAAGCAAGGCATATAACCTGTTAACGGAGAAATCTGAGGGCTCCCTTGGACAAAAAAAACCAAGGACACCAGCCAGGAATACCAGAGCAAAACAGCAGCCAGTAGGCTTGGTCTTTATTGAAGACTGTCGCGACAGCACTCCCACCTGCCACAAGGTGGAACAAGATGGAAGCCCCGAACAAAAGAGCCCCCAAACTTTTATTAGCTGCTAATCCCCATGTTATACCCCACCCAAACTACATCACTCATACATCACGGTTACATCATGAAAGGGGAGGTGCGGGCAACGTTATAGTTATTACAAAGTCCTAGGTAAATAGCTTTAAAAAATGCTCTTGAAATTCCTGTACAGCTACATCCGCCTCTCAGTTTTACAGCCACCACCACGCACAGCTGACCCTTCAAGTTTAAGTCCTGGGTTTACAGAAGCCACCCTGGTTTCTAACCCTGGAATGTCCCGTTTTCCTTAGGACACAGAGCCGTAGCTAGGTGGGGCCCCACCTGAGGCGCAGGCAGGGGGATCCAAAATCGGCTGCTGAGACCCTCCACCAGGCACCCTGTCTGGCCAGCTCTCACTGCCCACAGCCCAGGCAGGATGGGGAAAAAGGCGTGCTGGGCAGCAGCTGCTCCCAGCTGCTCCCCTCACCACTTGGTCCTCCCTGTACGTACCGCAGTGCCCCGTCCCATTTGGCCATGAGGCACCAGCTCTGCCTCTCCCGGACCTCGCTTGGGGTCAGGGCCAGGAAGGTACACCAGCCCAGCGAGCAAGTTGATAGGGTGCCTGGGTGGCACATGTGCCCTGTGCCATGGTGGGGCGGAGCCAGCCAGGGCAGGACGCTCTGCAGGGCCACCAAGGAGTCTGCCTGCCTCCTCCCAGTCAGCCACCCTACAGCTGAGGGTGAGGTGGCAGGTGGACCATTTGGCACAGGGCGGAGCCTGCGGGCACCGAAGCCACTGCATCACTCCCAGGAGAGACACGGTGCAGGCCCGTGGTGAGTGCCGCCCGGCATTTTGTGTTTTTTTTATAAGATATTTATTGAGATTTTCAAAATGTTACAAAATAAAAAGAAGAAAAGAAAAAAATACAAAATAAAAATGGTTAAAAACAACTCAATCTTTCCATTACTTATTTTTCATTAACTTGTTTCCCGGACCTCCTCATGCCTCCCTTTTCTGTATTCCAGTTCGGTTTGTTGGTTCAGCAAATCCTTACCCTCTTTGTTTATCCTAGTCTTTAATCTTAAAATATTGTAACGTTAAATTTTTACCTATTAATAATCCATTTTTCATATTCCCTTATAGTATTACAGCTGAAAACCACTTAATTTCTATCCAACATCATTCTAACATTCATTAGTTTTGCAATATTTCTGTGAATAGTCTTTGAATTTCTTCCAATCTTCTTCCACCAACTCTTCTCCCTGGTCTCGGATTCTGCCAGTCATTTCCGCCAGTTCCATATAGTCCATCACCTTCATCTGCCATTCTTCCAGAGTGGGTAGATCTTGTGTCTTCCAATACTTTGCAGTGAGTATCCTTGCTGCTTTTGTGGCATACATAAAAAAAGTTCTATCCTTCTTTGGCACCAATTGGCCGACTATGCCTAGGAGAAAGGCCTCTGGTTTCTTCAAGAAGGTATATTTAAATACCTTTTTCAATTTGTTATAAATCATCTCCCAGAAAGCCTTAATCCTTGGGCACGTCCACCAAAGGTGAAAGAATGTACCTTCAGTTTCTTTACATTTCCAGCATTTATTATCGGGCAAATGATAGATTTTTGCAAGCTTGACTGGGGTCATGTACCACCTGTATATCATTTTCATAATATTCTCTCTTAAGGCATTGCATGCCGTAAACTTCATACCTGTGGTCCATAACTGTTCCCAGTCAGCCATCATTATGTTATGTCCAACATCTTGTGCCCATTTAATCATAGCAGATTTCACCGTTTCATCCTGAGTATTCCATTTCAACAGCAAGTTATACATCTTTGACAAAATCTTAGTTTTGGGTTCTAACAGTTCTGTTTCTAATTTTGATTTTTCCACCTGGAAACCAATTTTCTTGTCCAAATTATATGCCTCCATTATCTGATAATAATGAAGCCAGTCTCGCACTTTGTTTTTTAATTTCTCAAAACTCTGCAATTTCAGTCTATCTCCATCTTGTTCCAAAATTTTCCAATATTTTGGCCATTTGACCTCCATATTGAGCTTTTGCAGAGCTTTCGCTTCCATCGGTGACAGCCACCTTGGGGTTTTATTTTCCAATAAGTCCTTGTATCTTATCCAAACATTAAACAATGCTTTCCTGACAATATGGTTTTTAAATGCTTTATGTGCTTTGACCTTATCATACCACAGATATGCATGCCATCCAAATACATTGTTAAAACCTTCTAGATCCAAAATATCAGTGTTTTCAAGAAGCAGCCATTCTTTCAACCAGCAAAAGGCTGCTGATTCATAGTAAAGTTTAAAGTCTGGCAGGGCAAATCCACCCCTTTCCTTTGCATCAGTTAATATCTTAAATTTTATTCTGGGCTTCTTGCCCTGCCAGACAAATCTAGAAATGTCTCTCTGCCACTTCTTGAAGCAATCCATTTTGTCCACAATTTGCAATGTTTGAAACAAAAACAACATTCTAGGCAATACATTCATTTTTATCGCAGCAATACGACCCAGCAGTGAAAGCTTCAAATTTGACCAAATTTCTAAATCTTTTTTCACTTCAGCCCAGCATTTTTCATAGTTGTCTTTAAATAGATTCCCATTTTTTGCTGTCATGTTAATCCCCAGGTATTTCACTTTCTTAACCACTGTTAAACCTGTCTCATTCTGAAACCTCTCTCTCTCAATCGGTGTTAAGTTTCTCTCTAAAACCTTGGTTTTTAACTTATTCAGTTTGAATCCTGCAACTTGACCAAATTCTTGAATCAGTTCTAAAACCCTTTTGGTACTAGATTCTGGCTCCTGTAACGTCAATACTAAGTCATCTGCAAATGCTCTCAATTTGTACTGTTTGGCTCCGACTTGTATACCTTTAACCAACTGGTCCCTTCTAATCATATTCAGCAAAACCTCCAGGACCGATATAAAAAGCAATGGGGAAATTGGGCAACCTCGTCGTGTCCCTTTTTCTATCTTGTCACCCCCCTCAGTGGTGACACCCAGGGCAGACCGCCACTACCGCACCCACCTTCCTCCGCCCCTGCACCAGCCTCAGCCCCTGACACTGCCCAGCCCACCTCACTGCCCGCGCCCCTGCCTCTCCGGACGCGGGGGAGGGAGTCGCCAAGTTCAAAGCCTGCCTACTCCGTAGTCACTTCTCTATCTCTCTAGTCTTGCTCACCCTCCTTCAAGAGTGTCAACTTGAATAAAATATATGGGGGGGGGGCAGAGAAGCACTGCCCTGTATAATCAAGATGGAGCACACACACACTATTTGAATGGCAATTCCCATTAACGGGGGGGGGGCAGCCTTCTCAAATATTTTAGGGAGGGGCAAAGGAACCTTGACCCCAAGGAGCCGGCTCCCATGCACTCCTCCCTATTAAAGTGGGGTGCTCCCCACTTTATGCGACTTCACTTATGCACACCAGGCCCTGGAACATAACCCGCAAGTAAGTGAGGAGACGCCTATATACCATCATCTAGGTCAGCCTTCCCCATCTTGGTGTCCTCTCTCTGTTTTGGTCTCCTTCAATCAGAATTCATTACAAAAGGGAATTCATTACAAGGTGAAGTGTGTGAGGAATTGAACTGAATGGGTGCTGGGGGGGCGGGTTGGAGGAGAGACAGAAAGAAGAGCCAATTTGTCCGTGGCTAGGGGGCACAATCTAGACAGTTCTGCCAGGGTCTCAAGATCACCTAGCTAAGGCTCTGTTTGTTGTTGTTGTTTAGTCGTGTCCGACTCTTCGTGACTCCATGGACCAGAGCATGCCAGGAACTCCTGTCTTCCACTGCCTCCCGCAGTTTGGTCAGGCTCATGTTCGTAGCTTCAAGAACACTGTCCAACCACCTCGTCCTCTGTCGTCCCCTTCTCCTTGTGCCCTCCATCTTTCCCAACATCAGGGTCTTTTCCAGGGAGTCTTCTCTTCTCATAAGGTGGCCAAAGTATTGGAGCCTCAACTTCACGATCTGTCCTTCCAGTGAGCACTCAGGGCTGATTTCCTTAAGAATGGATACATTTGATCTTCTTGCAGTCCATGGGACTCTCAAGAGTCTCCTCCAGCACCATAATTCAAAAGCATCCATCTTCAGCGATCAGCCTTCTTTATGGTCCAGCTCTCACTTCCATACAGCTCTGTAAGGCTGTCCCTATTTCTATCGGAGAAATGTTGGAGGGTATGGCACAGGTGCACCAGCACTGTGTGCCATCATTCCCCCCCCCCCATCATAGCCCAGCTGGTTGTGGCGCAGGTGTCCTGAAATAATATGCAAAAATACATTGAGCAAAACCTCTTTTAAAGATGTGGGTTTTGAGATGAAAGTGCATTGGTGTTCATCAACCATTTGTTGGCAAGCGGTAGCTTCCAGCCACAATGGCTATACTCTGTCTCCCCAGTATGAGGCAGCAATGCATCTGAACACCAGTTGCTGGAGACCACCGGAGGGGAAAATATTTTTGTGCTTAGGTCCTGCTTTCCAGTTTCCCACAGGCATCTGGTTGTCTGTTTTGACATTTACATGGGTCTGAATAACAACAACAACAACAACAACAACAACAACAACAATGCGACAAAGCAACTTGAAATGTGATTTTGAGGCATCTGATCAAGGCCTGTATTTTAAAATGAGCTTAAAGATATATTTGCAAATGTTTGTATGTTTCATGCCAGGCAGAAACCAGCTGGCTAAGTACTTTGGCAGTTGTTTATCTTCCTGCTCTCCTGAACAAGCCCCCCCCCCCCCCGATTTATAGCAGTAGCAGGAGACAAGTTTCTCAAAGTTGTAAAAGGGAATTACAGGCTGGTAGCAAATGTTACACTGACCCTACATATTACAGAATACAATCAAGCTGCAAAAACACTAATTAAGAGTTGGTAAATAGTAAGATTTATTGTTTAACAGAAAATAGTACCATGTGCCTCCCATCAGACTCTAGCCATATTTTCCTAAGGTTTAAGGTATACTGAGAGAGTTAAAGGGCAATAAATTTTGGGAAGAGCTAATGGGAAAAGCAGCTGGCTGGGAAAGGGGGGTGTAAACTGAAGAGGCTTCTTTTGAAGCTGTTTTTACTGAGTTCCTTTTTACTTTGCAAAGGCCTTTTCTTCTAAAAAGCTATCTATGTTATGTATGAGATTTGTTGGCTTAATGTAATTATGCAAAGGATTTAGAAAGTAAGAAATGTTAGATTCTTATGTTAGATTCTTATTTCATTGATGGTGTGTAAGAATGTGAACCCAAGATCTCTGTTTAGACAGAATTTAATACCATGAGCCATTTGTTTCAGCCATTTGTTTTGGAATGCAGGGGCAACAGGAGCAAAAGGTGATCTGGTAATTAAGGTGCCTTGTCGAGGCAAATGTAAGATATATGGCTACTTGTCTGCCATTTATGGATAGAAGGAAATATAGCTCTTTGTCTCCCATAAAAGGTAATAGGAAATGGGTGTATCTTTTATGATTGGTTCTAGCAAACAGCCAATAGGAATTTCAACCAGGCTGATTGGACAGAGGCAGCCAAAGGAGGAGCAAGGGG